ACATTAATGAAAAAGTAAACATGAAAAAATACCTGCTTGTTGTAGAAACAAAAGGTGCAGAATTAGACCTTAATTATTTTAAGTCTCTTACCTAACAAAAATACTAGATAAAATTGGATTGTTAGGTGGGTGTTAAACAATGAGAACACATGAACACAGGGAGGGGAGCACTACACACTGGGGTCTGTTGAGGGAAAATAGGGGAGGGACAGTGGGGGGTGGGGAGTTGGGGAGAGATAGCATGGGGAGAAATCCCAGATATAGGTGAAGGGGAGGAAGGCAGCAAAATCACACCGCCATGTGTGTACCTAGGCAACAATCTTGCATGTTCTTCACATGTTCCCCAAAACCTAAAATGCAATAAAAAAAAATGGATTGTTACTTGGAAGCAACTATCAATGCATTCCTATGTTTAATCAATACATTTTAAAAATTCAATCAACATTTAAGTAATAATAAATGCATTTACATCACAGAATCTGCTGAAATACCCAGCACTTTATCGCTTTCTTAAACAAGAGCAAAATGCAATTTCAGGTCATTCTCCCTGCTCTGGGTCTGGAACAGAACAGGATTTCTGACATTCATATTAATACTCCTGATGTTCTTATTAATAAGTGCTGTCAGAAATATTTGGTCTTTGACTGAATGACTGAGTCAATAACCAGATGAGTGAGAGAAAGAAGAATCACTTCTCTCTCTTAACATCCTGTTTCTATTTTACTGGGGCAAGATCTTCTCTTACCTGTACAAGGATAGTGATAGTTTCATTTAAGTTTTCTTCTCTCTGCATAATCTCCTCTCTCGAAATCCCTTTGTTTTGTGGGTTCCTTTTAGTGTTACCCCTTCCAGATGTCAAAGGCTTTTCTCAGGTGTGTGGTAACCCTGGTTGTGCTCATGATTAAGGATGAGGGACTGAGAAGCTGCCTGGAAGCTCTGAGTCAGGGTGACCAACTGAGGGGTCCCAGAATGTGGGAGTTTCAGCACCAAAACCAAAAAAGTCCCAGGCAAGCCAGACTGAGTCGGTCACCCTACTCTGAGCCCATGGTGTGAACTTCACTGGAGGGGATCTGGCTGGGAATTTTCTGGAAGAGCTTTTAATGTCAATATTTTTAAGGCTTTCATCTTGGGTCCGTCAGAATCCCCAAAGAAGCAGCTTCCAAACTTCTGCCTGGAGGCGCAAGGCCTGTCTGGCGGGGATCCGGCAGCCTCCAGGATGCGTATTCACACAGCCCTCACTCTTCAGATCTTAGCGTGGGATCCCCATCTTCCTGGCTTCCCTCAGCCTGGAGCTTCTACTCTGTTAGTCTCTGGGCATCAGCCTTGTCCGCCTTCACATTTACAGATCTAGAAGTCTGACAAGGCTGAAGGTGGTAAGCACAAGGACTTTCTCCGCCATGCCCGCCCCTCTCCTCAGCCACCCCATCTTTCCCAGAAGTCCCCAGGGCACTTCTCCTTCTGTGTCATTGGTCAGAGCTGGGTCACGTGCTCAAACCTGCACCAATCACTGGCAAAGAAAAAGAGGCGGAACATGATTGGTTTCTACCAAATATGAGGCTTTCCCTTGGTGTGGGCACATTGATAAGGGAACAGCATCAGGGTTTGTGTAGTGAAAGAGGAAGGCGTGCGAATGCGGGTAGGCCACCAAAAGTGGCTGCCTCTCAGCATGTGCAAGCACAGTATTGATTTAAATCCCACTTAGGGTCTAGGGAATAAAGTTCTACAGGCTTCTCGTCCCTTCAGGGGCCCTCGGGACTCTCAACTTTGAGCTTCACTGGAAGTGTTGCCAGTGGAGGGTGTCCAGGTCTTGGAGTTTTGAACAAATAATTAGACAAAATGCACAAAGTAAGGAAAGAATGAAGCAACAGAAGCACCGATTTATTGAAAACGAAAGTAGACGGCTCAGGGTGGGAGTGACCTGAACATAGTGGCACAACAGCCCCTTTACAGAGTTTCCTGGGGTTTAAATATCTGCTCTGGAGGTTTCCCATGGATTACGTGGTGTACACCCTATGTAAATGAAGTAGTGGCCTGCAATCAGTCCGACTGGTTGTGGAAGGCAACTAATCAGAGATACTTCCAATTTTCCATCTGCCACACCAAAAATGGTAGTACGGGGGTGGTTTGCAAAGGGAGTAGCCGCTGGTCCTTTTGTTATTTAGGTGTGGAAAGTTGGGGGTTTTCTTCTGATTTAGTTTTAGGAAGTCAGCATGAATTGGCCTTAAGTTCCCTGACTCCAACCGCTATTCTACTGCCTCAGAAGGGGGACTAATTGGGCGGTTTGAGACTGTGATTCTTATAAAATTGAGCATCTCTGAGACTTGGCTGAGAGGGGCCTGCCCAACTGTATGAGAAGCCTCCTAGAAAAGAAATCATCTAAAGAAAGAAGGGGTAGTCTGGGCGCGGTGGCTCACACCTGTAATCCCAGCACTTTGGGAGGCTGAGGTGGGCGGATCAAGAGATCAAGAGATCAAGACCATCTTGGCCAACATGGTGAAACCCCGTCTCTACTAAAAATACTAAAATTAGCCGGGTGTGGTGGCGCACACCTGTAATCCCAGCTACTCCAGAGGCTGAGGCAGGAGAATTGCTTGAACCAGGGAGGCAGAGGTTTCGGTGAGCCAAGATCTAACTGCACTCCAACCTGGGCGACAAGAGCGAAACTCCTTCTAAAAAAAAGAAAGGAAAGAAAGAAAGAAGGGACCACTTCCATCATTAATATCAACTAATGTTTAACACCCACTGTGTACCATAGTGCAAAAAACTAGAGACACGGTGGTGAAAAGGACAAATGCAGAAGGAAAGCAATTGTCACTCCATCCAGTCACCCTCCATCTTAACAGCCACAGACTCATACTGCATCTAAGGGAGATGGATCTATATTCAAATAAGTAAAAATCGTAAGAGCAGTTTCAATAAAACAGAACAAGCACCGGGTGTACCGCATCGAAGCCTGAACGAGAGAGCATAGATGGCCCAAGTGGAAGCAGAAGGGACTTACCTGCTCGTGGCATTTGTGGAGAACATTTGTGCACTGAATGGACAACATGGTCTGAGCAGGTGGCTGGCGCAGCCCACGTGGTGACAGGTTTTGAGAGTGGAGTGGGGAGGTCAGCAGGCTCGGAGGCCCCACCCCACCTGCAGCTCTGCATAGCTCTGAGAGCAGAGTAGGGGTAGGCCAGCTCCGAAGGGAGCCAGATCCAGAATGAGGAAAGAGCAGAATCCAGGTGTTCACAAGACAAGCAAATGTCTCTGGAATCCCCCAAAATGAGTCTGGAGGAATTTAAGGAGAGTGGAAGTTCCTTTCAATCTGCTGTGGTGATTGTTTATGGTTGATGCGACCTATTTTTAATCCACAGGTCGATATGTGGGTATAAAACATGGATTTCAGAATCTAGAAACTGCTCTTTCTATAAATTTTTTTTCTCTTTGTTACATGATTTTCAAACATAAACAAAATTAGAAGGCTGGGCATGGTGGCTCATTCCTGTAATTCTAGCACTTTGGGAGGCCAAGGCAGAAGAATCCCTTGAGGCCAGGAGTTGGAGACCAGCCTAGGCAACATAGGAAGACCCCATTTCTACAAAGAACTTAAAAAACTAGCTGAGAGGTCGGGTGCAGTGGCCACAACCTGTAATCCTAGCACTCTGGAATCTCCGATCTGTAGTCAGACACGTTACCCATTGCACCACTGGCCCCGAATCCTAGCATTTTGGGAGACTGAGAAGGGTGGATTCCTTGAGCCCAAGAGCTCAAGACCAGCCTGGGCAACATGACAAAACCGCATCTCTACAACAAACACAAAAATTAGCCAGTCATGATGGCACATGCCTGTAATCCTAGCCACTTGGGAGGCTGAGGCAGGAGGACCGCTTGAGCCCAGGAGATTGAGGTTGCAGTGTAATATTGCACTGCATGCCAGCCTGGGCAACGGAACGAGACTCTGTCTCTAAAAAATAAAAATGAAAATAGAGAAAATAGTATAACAATGTTCCAGGTACCCAGCTTCAAACATTAACCACATGGCCAATCTCATCTCATCTATGCCAGTTCCTCCCAATGTTGTTTTCAGGCAATTATCAGATTTTATATTACTTTATTCATAAACATTTTAGTATACACCTAAGAGATAAGGGATATAAATGTATGCATATATATGTAGCTATGTAATATACAACTACAATACCATTATTACATAAAAAGCGGAATCAGTCCTTAATATCATGAAATACCTCATCAGTATTTACATTTCCAGGCTTAGAAACGTCGTAATACTTGTTTACGATTTATTTCAGGATCCAAATGAGGTACGCACAATCTATCCCTCTTAAACTTCCGGGGAATTCTGGATTGAAACAAACCCAGGACAAAACTGGATTTCTCTAAGCTTACCTTATGTCATATAAAATTACACCAGCGGGAGGGTTGGGTTTTTTCCCTTGTAATGAAAGTCTTTACAATGCTGCGTTGGTCATTAGCTAGCTATTTCCACGGATCCCAGGTTTCTGGCCTTATAACTGGAAGCATTTGGCAATTTGGTTGCAGAACGAGGCTGGCAGGTGAGTCACTTCTCACTGGAGTCCACCCACGTGGCAGTTACCCTGAAAATACCACTGGTCCTCAACAGCTCCTTGGAGACCTAATGAAGTGAGAGGGTTCAGGTGCCAAAACAGCCAACAGAGGGCTCCCGAGGAACTCGATGAACTTCGGTGTTCACTGAAAAGCCAATTTGGCTGCCTTCTTACAGCACGTCTGCCTGTTGGGTCTTGGCGCCCCACTCCCTCAGGTCAGCTTCTGCAGCAGAGGGACCAGACCTCAGGGAGGTGAGGCTTGTCCCCCGTGGCTGGCTGGCAAGGCCAAGGTTAGCTGTCCGTGGCCATCAGAGTGTAAACCATTCAGCCCTCCCCTCCCCACCCACATTGGTCATCTTTGCAGACCCACTGGACAGCAAAGAGCATCCCCAGATATAACGCATCCGCAATAATAAGCACCCAGTAGCCTGTGGTCGTTAATGCTTTAATGACGAAGTAAACAAAGAGCTTTATTTTAAGCGATGGAATGGGCTTAATTATTCAGTAAGTGTAGACAGCTAATGTGAAATTATACACCTAGAAAAAACACACCGCTGAGAACCTGGATCACAGCATCTCCGTTTGGCCTGGCAAGTCTCTCCCCATCTCTAGGTCTCATCACTGGAAATTGAGGGGGTTGGGCTAGAAGCCACTGGCTGAGGTCTCTTCTTTCTCTGTTAGTTTTTGTGTGGGCACTGTCTTGGTGCGTAGGGATGGTCCATTTATCTAGGGCTGCTGGGACAAAGTACCAAACACCAGGTGGCTTGAAACAGCAGCCATGAATTATCTCACAGTTCTGGAGGCCGGAAGTCCAAAATCGAGGTGTCTTCCAGGGCCAGCTCCAGCGGAGGCTCCTGCCTTACCTCCTCCGGCTTCCGGGGTTTGCCGGCACTCCTTGGTGTCCCTTGGTTTGTACATCACCGTCTTCTCCCTGTGTCTTCACACCGTCTTCCCTGTGTGCACGCCTGTCTCTGTGACCAAACTCCCCCTTATTATAAAGGACACCAGTCATAATGGATTAGCGTCTCCATTCCAGTGACCTCATTGGACTTAACTGCCTCTGTAAACATCCTGTCTCCAAATAAGGCCACATTCTGATGCACAGGGAGTAAGGACTTCAACAGATCTTTTGGGAGGGGATACAATTCAGTCCAAAACAGGGGCTGTGTTGAAGAATAGGTGATATTGGAAAGGCCCTGTAATGACAGACCCATGAATTATGCATGCTAGCGGGTCATACCACCGAGCTTCTAGGATAAAGTTACAAGTCTGCAAAGACACTGTAATAACACACAAAGAATTACGTCGTGGAAAAGCGCATACTGTGATTTTACAGAGAAAAATGAAGACTATAACCCAAATAAGCTTCATAACCCAGGTTACATTAAAATCATGACATTGGATCATTTCCTGTGATCATTGATATGGAAAATCAGATACAAGTTAAACCAAAAAGAAATCCAGATTAATTTTTTTGCTATAAATGTACAACGGAAGTTTATTATTGTGCTACTAAAAAATTATAGAACTTTTATAAGCACTGAGAACTCTTTCACATATTAAATACAAAGAACATGTATTTATTAAACTTTCACAAAATGAGATTCACACCCCTCCTTAGGAATACAAGCACTCATTGCATACACAAGGCCACCTCGTCTTTGCTCGTCACTACCAACAAAGGCCCATCTATTCCTTCGTGTTTTAACCAGAACATTCGAGGCCCAGCAGGCACTGCTTCAGTTCCTGACATGGCTTCTCAATGAACAGCGTCAGGGCTAGCCCAGTGACGAAGGTCAGCACACAGTGTCCAGAGAAAAGATAGAACTGGAGAGAAAGTGGACAGGGTGAACACAGTTTTACTGTGGGATTCCTCTTGTGTTCACATCCAAAATGTACCATCCTAGCTCTACAAAATGTGTCTGTAGGACAATCAGTGCCACATATTAAAAATAAAATAAAATAAAAAATGTTATCCTGTGCTGAGGCCCTCTCTCTTCCTCCCACAAATAAAGCAAAGAACAATGAGGCTCTTTTTTCTTTTTTTTTTTTTTTTTTTTTTTTTTTTCTGAAACAGTGTCTTGCTCTGTTGCCCAGGGTGGAGAGCAATGGCACAATCTTGGCTCACTGCAGCCTCCGCCTCCCAGGTCCAAGCAATTCTCCTGCCTCAGCCTCCCAAGTAGCTGGGATTACAGGTGAACGCCACCATGCCCAGCTAATTTTTGTATTTTTAGTAGACACGGTTTCACCATGTTGGCCAGGCTGGTCTCGAACTCTTGACCTCCTGATCTGTCCACCTTGGCCTCCCAAAGTGCGGGGATTACAGGCACGAGCCACCGCGCCCAGCCTAATGAGGCTCTAAAAAAAAAAAAAGGCTTTCATAAAAGCAAATAGGTTACCTCGTTGCTCAAGAAGAGAACAAACTGTGGTACCATAACATACCATAGCAGAGTTGGGAGCTGTGTGCTGACTCACCATGTTGGTATCAGTGTAGTGAATAAGCGTTTCCTGAAGGCCATTATAAAGGATGATCAGAATCGGATGCACCAAGTAGCAAGCATAACTGATGCTGGCCAGGAAGCTCCAGATGTCCCAAGAAAGCACCCGGTTCACCAGACCTAGAGAGAATAAGCACTGACGCATGAAACCACAGCCTGTCTCTGGGCCAGTGAAGACGCCCTGTTGTCCTGTCAATGCTCCCGTCGGATTCTGTGCCTAAGTCTGTGAACTTTTCCTAAGAAGTCTTTATGCATTATAATTTTAAGACAAGGTACCAAACCAAAAACCACCTTTCTGTTGCAAGAATTATGATAACATAAGAGAGATGTATGGTTTCAGCCCTTGAGCATAAAACAGTCCATGTATAAAACAAGGTAGAAAGTCCTCATACTCACCTGGGTTCTGGATCAAGATGGATGAAGATGCAGCCACAGGAGGCGACGGGCCTGGGGATAAGGCATTTCACATGCCAGGCCTCAGACTCCTCGTCTACCAGCAAGAGGCTTGCATTTGATCACCCTTTAGGTGTCTTTCAGGACAAATATTCTGTAATTTGGTATTTATTCTAGAACTGTACTGTCCCAGACAATAGCCCCTAGCCACTTGCGGCTATTTAACTGAATTAAAATTAAATACAATGAAAACTTTCTCTCGGAATAGGACTTCCTGCTATCTCTAGTGAGTTGCGTGGTGATCCTTCAAAAGATTATGTCCACCCAGAACCTCAGAATGTAACCTTATGTGGAATAAGGTTCTTTGCAAGTATTACTAAGAGGAGGAACTAGAAATGAGACCATTGTGGATTAGGGTGGACCCTGAAGCCAGTGACAGATATCCTTATAAGAGACAGAAAAGGAGACAGAAACACAGAGGAGAGACACAAGGACGAGAACCATGTGCTCATGAAGACAGGGACTGGAGTGAAGAGTCCGCGAGCCGAGGAGTGCCACGGCTTGCCACAGCTACCAGAGGCTGGGAGAGGTGATGGGACAGATTCTCCCTCAGAAAATCCAGAGGGCCCAACCCCGCTGACACTTTGATTTTGACCATCTCGCCTCCAGAACTGCAAGAGAATACATTTGTGTTGTTTTAAGCCACAGAAATAAAATATAACTTGTTTCTCCTTTGCACAAGCCTCATTTAAAGTGCTCAGCAGTGCATCACAATTTGCTCAGGATAAATCTCTGGAGCCATCCCAGACTCCTTTTATCCTGGACTCCATAGAGTGCTTCCAAAAATGTATCTCAAATCAGACCACTGTTCCTCACCTCCGTGGCTAACACCCTCGCGAATCTCCCATCACCTCCTGCATGGGTCTCCGTGGTAGCTCCCCAGTGGATCTGTTGGTCTCTGCTCCTGTTCTTGCCACCCTATTGTCCCCATACCACATCCAGAGTAATCTTTTAAAATCACGTGTCAGGGAGAAGTGGGGAAGGGGAGATATTGATCAAAGGGAACGAAGTTTCAGTTCAACTGATGGAGTAAGTTTTAGTGATCTAGTGTACTCCATAGTGACCACAGTTAATAACAATGTACTGGAAATTTTGAAATGGCTAAAAGTATAGATTCTTAACATTCTCACCACAAAAAGAGAACTTGGTGAAGTGGTGCATATGTTAATTAACTTGATTTCATCTTTCCATCTACTATGTATACATATATCAAAATATCACGTTGTACCCCATAAATACATATAGGTTTTGTTTTGGTTTGGTTTGGGTTTTTCTGAGACAGAGTTCCACTCTGTCACCCAGGCTACAGTGCAATGGCAGTCTCTGCTCACTGCAACCTCTGCCTCCCGGGTTCAAGTGATTCTCCTGCCTCAGCCTCCTGGAATTACAGGTGCATGCCATCACACCAGGCTAATTTTTGTATTTTTAGTAGAGACGGGTTTCACTGTGATGACCAGGCTGATCTTGAACTCCTGACCTTGTGATCCACCCACCTTGGCCTCCCAAAGTGCTAGGATTACAGGCATGAGCCACCGCACCCGGCCCATACATATAGTTATTATTTGTCAATTTGAAAATAAATTTTACAAATTCACAAATCATGGGCTGTGATCTGAATGTTTACATTCCCTCAAAATTCATATGTTGAGATCCAAATTTCCAAGGTGATAGTATTAAGAGGTGGAGTCTTTGGAGAGGCAATTAGTTCATGAGGGCTGGGCCTTCAGAAATGGGATTAGTGCCCTTATAAAAGCGACCCCAGAGAGATAGCTCTACCCTTCTACCATGTGAGGACACATCTAGAAAGTTCCACCTAGGAGCCAGAAAGCAGGCCTTCACCAAACACTAAATCTGCTGATACCTTGATCTTAGACCTCCCAGCCTTCAGAACTGTGAGACAGACATTTGTTGTTTTTAAACCACCTCACTTACGGGGTTTTTGTTATGGCAGCTGAAATGGACTAAGACTTCGTGCGACGTGGCGTTTAAAATAAAATCCAAGCCTTTCCCATGACCTTGAAAGCTCTGCCTAACCTGGGTCCTACCTTCCCCTCCGACTTCCCTTCCCACCCCACCGCCCCCTTGACCCTCGGTTCCTATCTCACTGGTCATTGTGCTCTTCCTCCAAGCCATGAAGCTCGCTTCAGTCTAGAGAACTCTGCCTTCGCATTCCGTCTGCCCAGAATTATTTTGTGCATCTTTGCAAATGTACCCCTGTTCCAGTTACCCACTAATCTCTGCTTTATTTTTATTCACTGTATGTAAACTTCCCTCGACTCCACTGTCATCTCTCACAAGGGAGAGATTTTTCTTTTCTATTGCTATATCCCCAGATTCTAGAATAGTACCTTGCATAGAATAAGTATTCAATAAGTATTTTATGTAATTGAGTGAATAAACACAGATGGACTTATAGACAAAAGAAGCTTTTTCCCCAAGTGAAGTCTATAAAAGGTGAACCACAATTTCACCGTAGAACAAAATAACTGTAGAGAAATGAAGTCAGCAAAGAGCCCATGCTCATGCAGATAAGCCAAACACAAAAGAACATGCCCTAAAGCAAACAATACCATGTTCACATCATGAGCCACAACTGATTCCGGCAACCATTCATCACTTCATGTTCATGTTGTTAATGCAGATTTTATTGGTTTTATAGTTTTATGATTACTTCATAAATCTGTGGCTTTCTGAATGCATGTGCTATAAACATAAAATTTCGTATCTTCGTTTATGTTTGTTCATGTTTAGACAAAATTAGAAAAAAATAAGAGCATATAGTCAAGGTAACTTATTCTATGTTCCTAGGGAAAAAAAATATATTGAAAAAATAAGAATATAAATAATTTCGGTCAACACCAAGAATCCAGAATTCTTATTTCTTTAGAATAGGCCCACATAATACTTAAGTTTGAGGACAAAAGCTGTAGGTACAGAGCACCACTGAAGGGTTTTAACTGAAGGAGTAATGTGCTCAGATGACTCTGGCAGCTCAACAGCAGACAACTTGGAGCATAACACGACCAGCGTGGTCCATATTGCTATCCAGCAAAGATGGTTAAAGATTCATGGAATCATCAAGATCCCTTCTAGTCCTGAGAGTCTCAACTAAACATTTCTTCTTATTCAGACATTCTTTTTTTTTTTTCCTAAAAGTCATCAGCTAGGCACTTTTTTTTTTTTTTTTTTTTTTGAGACAGGGTCTCACTCTGTTGCCCAGGCTGGAGTGCAGTGCAGTGGTACGATCTCAATTCACTGCAACCTCTGCCTCCCAGGTTCAAGCAATTCTCCTGCCTCAGCCTCCCAAGGAGCTGAGATTATAATTGTGTGCCACCATGCCTGGCTAATTTTTGTGTTTTTAGTAGAGACGGGGTTTTGGCTTGTTGGCAAGGCTGGTCTTGAACTCCTGGGCTCAAAAGATCCACCTGCCTCGGCCTCTCAAAGTCCTGGGATTACAGGTGTGAGCTAGGTAGACACATATTTTCCAGAACTTTACTTAAGCTCTCACCTCAGACATTCACCTAGTCATCAATCTTGATATCTTATAAATGGTTTTGGAGACACAAACCTAGGATATCAGCTGCCCCTGCAGTTGTGGATTGGCCAATGACAACACACCTTTGAATGATAAATTGCTCAAGAATAAGTAAAGTGGCTTGCTCATCACCTGGGTGACGAGATAGCACCCTCACCCAGACTCGTGATGGAGGGCATTTACTCGTTCCATTGTAATAATAATGCTGCAAATTAGTTTAATCTTCTAACTTAACCTGAGTCATTCTCTCTAATATCATTTATGTTAACTAGTTATTCTTGATAAACAGCAGCACCCCTCACATTAGAGAAGAAGACTGTGATGCTTGCTGCATTACAAATGGCCTGTACCAGGCCCCGGGGAGTAGTTGTTTATGAGGCTCTGTGACAGCTCAGGGACACTGTCATGGGGTGAGGCTGCAGGCAGGGCTGCGGTCACATAACCCAGAGTTTCCCATAAGTGCAAATACATCAGTCAGAAAGAATGCAGTCCGTTTCCTCTTTAATATCTCTTTTCCATATAAGGGAAAGTTTTAACATTAAAATATGAAAGATCACTAAGGCTCATTTCTAAAATTAAAATATTAAAGATCATCGTTATATTAAAATACCTGTAAAATTTCGGAACAATTTTCATTAACATCTGGGAGAAGTGCTATCATGTAGGAATGAAGAACTCTGGCTTTGGACTTTGTGCTGGACCTGATTCATTTTCTAGTTCAACCTCCCACAGCTGTGGGACCTCCGCTGTGTCGCTTTCTCTGCAGGCGTGGTTGTTCTCATTGCTAATTATAGGTCTTCCTCCTAGGGGTGTGGTCAGTGCTACCGGGGATCCTGTGGGTGATGTTCCCCACAAAGTCTGGCATCCAGCATGAGTTCAATCCAGAGGAATTGTTCATCACCCCATTGTTTTTCTCTTTAAGTCATTATTTCCCGCCACCTTTGCTGAAGCTGAGTGGCATGGGTTCACAGGCTTGGTTTAAACGCCTTTTGGTGGGTTATTTCCCTAGTGTCTGAAGCGGGCATCCCTCCGCCTGGATCCACTGCTCCTATGTCAGGGCTTTGGGTACCTTGAGACCAGAACCTCTGCTGGGAGCTTCCTGCCAGCCTTGTTCTCTTATTTGCTGACATCCCAAGCACACAAGTCCTACCTCTCGCCAAATAGAGAAGACAGGGAGGAAAGCATCAGGAGGCTTGAATAGACCTTTCTAACCTGGAGAAGATTCTTTTCCATTGAAGCCTTTTGTGTGTGTGGCTCTCTGCATGTTGAAAGCCAACTCACTTATCCAAGTCTGTACCTTCAGATGGGGAAACCAAGGCTCAAGGCGCTGTCCCTAGAAGTCTGCCTCCCAAGCACTGATTTTTTTTTCTCCTGACATTGCTCTGCCTTCGCTGGAGAGGCTGCATTCTTTTTCTTTCAGAACCTGCACTTGTGTATAAATCCATGTAAAAATCGTATACAGAAATCCTTTGTATTTTCCAAGGTTAGAGAGAAATCGATATTTTTAAATCAATATCAGTCATTCATCAACCACTCCAGGAAACAAAAGTCCCTCTGGTACACTCCTTATGTGTTAAATTTGTCACCTTTAACGGAACAGGGTGTGAACCCAACAGCAAAGCCCAGAGGTGCTCCATACCTCCATATCCTCCCTGGCACGCAAAAAGGATCCAACCCACGGCCGCCGCCCACAGGGTCCGGTGGAGGGCTTGGTAGAGAGCTGCAGCCACTGAAGGAGAAGCAGAGGTGTCGTCTACCACATACGCCAGAGCAGCCACCACAAACAGGGTGGTGAGGGAGCAGCTCCACCCCAGCAGGACCTGCATCTGCAGGGAGAGGAGAGGCAGGGCCCAGCCCTTTTTACCCATTGTATAATTCCCGCCTCTTACACAAACCTACTTTTTTGGTGTTATCACTGTCACTTAGGTCTTTATTTGTAAACCTCAGTCACTGCATAGATCTGACTAAAATAGAAGGTTGTAATTTAAAAGGGGCAGCCAGGAGATCTTTGTGGTGACAGAGAGTTCTGTACCTTGACCGTGAAGATGGTTACACACATTTGCACATGGGACAAAGTGACCCAGAACCGTAGACAGACATGCGCAAACGAGTATGTGTAGAGTTGATGGATCTGAGGTCTATTGTGCCAATTTCCATTTTCCGGTCGTGGTCAGGTTCCATAGTTATGTCCTACGTTGCCTGTTGGGGAGCCGGAGTACACAGCACCTCTCTGTACTAGTTTTGCAACTTTCAGGGAATCTATAATCATTTCAAAATGGAAGTGAAAAGAAAATCAATAAGTAATCTCCTAACCCACTCCTAATCTCCCATTTCGTCCCTTAACCAAATGAAGGCTCCTTGATGGCTTCTGCCTTCACCGTAAATGTGAGGGCGTCCAGCTCACAGCCCTGCCCTGGGCAGCAGGCTAGTCAAGTGGAAGGAATGGGAGGATGAAAAGTCTTCAGCTCAAAAACAGCCCTGTAAGTTAAATCCTCATACATGACTCAGTTCACGATCTTGGACCTTGCATTACCATACTTGACCTTTTTAGACCTAGACCTGTCTTCCAAGGATCTCTCTTGCTTCTCCGTGCTGTAGTACTCAAGCTGCTGAGATGATGTCTACACTGCACTGAACCAACATCGGATCAGTCCACTGTCTTGTCTCTGAGACCTAGTTAGGTCTCAGGTTCCTGGCTGCGGGGGAGGAAAGGGGTGCTCCACTCTTTCAGCCTGGGATCTCCCTCACTCCTTTGCTATTTCCCTGGCCCACGTGGGCCTGCAGTCTCTCAAAATACATCTTGGGTATCACACTCTCTTTCTGTCCTTGTCTGCCTATCTTTATTATGGTGTAGCTGCCTTATCTCGCTCCTGGCATGTGGTATATGGCCAGCTTCCTCCCGCTTAGACCTTGTGCCCTTATTTTCTAGCTTCTGAAGCTTTGAGTCTGGTCTACCCAGCTGTTCTATGTTTGTTTCTCCAGGTCAACTTGGCTTGTGTTCCAGCTCCAAGCTTCCTGGTCCTGACTCTGGCCCTCGAAGTGATTCCCAAATGCTCCCTCTTTATGTTAAGTTTTCGCCTTTGCTGACGCCCATTTCCTCCCTGGGCCCCATGTAACCTGGCTTACGTTGAAGGATCTCTCTAATGGCACTCTTCTAATCTACAACTGAATCCCAGGAAAATATCCTAACTCCAACCTACGGAAAAAGTCACATGGCTTCTCTATATTCATTCCTTTCAGTAAAATCTTATCTCTTCTTCCGGCCATGGGCAACACAAGATTTTCCAAGGACCAGGGCCTCTTCTCTGAAACATCTAAGTAAGGAACCCACAAAGTCTAGGCAAACAAACGTGGACCTAGCAGAGGGGTTTGTGGCAGGAGTTGTACCCTAACTCCTGGTCCTTCTTCCATTGAGAAGAAAATTCTCTTTCATTCATTCGTTCATGTGTTGAGTACCTTCAGTGAGTCAGGATTTCAGAGCCAGATGCTGGCGATTCAGAGGTGAGACAAGTAGTGCCCTCCAGGAGCTCACAGTCTATGGGGTGAATAAATGCTGTATCATGAAGTACAAACCAGGGCCCAGGAATGCACAGTGCACAGAGGAACCCAAAAGATGGACACAGCCTGGTCTGGAGGGATAAGGGAAGACTTCCTGGAGGTGAAAACTCCAGGTGAGCCTTCTAGACCAAACACGAGTTAAGTCAGATGAAAGGAAGGAGTGAATTGGGGGAGGGGAAGAGGCAGATTCCAGGCAGAGAAGAAAGCATGAGCAACTGCAGATGCCAGGAAGAGCTGGTGTGTGGCGGTGGTGGCGGTCGAAGGCTCTGTGAGCAGGCTGGTATCACTGATGTGCAAGTACAAGAGCGGTGAGAGAGGTGACCCTGGAGACACAGCCCGAGCGATGTCATGCGGACTCTGAAGTCCTTGTTGAACAGGTCAAGCCTTATCATGGATGTCAAAGGAAGCCAGTGAAAGGTTTTTCACAGTTCAAGGGCACAGCCAAAGTGGTGTTTTAAATAGATCACCCCGAGAGTAGATTTGAGATCAGTAAGACTGGAGGGAAGGAAATAAGTGACAACATCCAGGCAAGAGATGAGAAGAGCTTTAAGGTCAGTTCAGAAGGCCAAGAGAGGATGGCAGGAGACACATTCGGCAGGGCGTGGGGGATGACTGGCGTGGGGGATGACTGGCGCGGGGGATGACTGGCGCGGGGGATGACTGGTGTGGGGGATGATTTAGCATAGGGGATGATTGGCGTGGGGGATGATTGGCATGGGGGATGATTGGCCTGGGGGATGACTGGCGTGGGGGATGACTGGCGTGGGGGATGACTGATGTGGGAGATGACTGGCGTGGGGGATGACTGGCGTGGGGGATGACTGGCGTGCGGGATGATTGGCGTGGGGGATGACTGGTGTGGAGGATGATTTAGCATAGGGGATGATTGGCATGGGGGATGATTGGCTGAGAGTGATGATCAATGAGGAGGAGACATCCAAGATGAACCCAGGTTTCCTGCTTGAGTCTCGAGATTGGATGGGAAACCAGAATGATTGCCCACCAAGGAGTCAGAGAAGAAAATGAGGGCTCGGGGTACACCTGGAAAGCAAAGTAACAGCTTCCAGACACCTCATGTCCTGATTCCCAGACACAACGAAGAGTCTTGTGTGTAGAAACCATTGAGAGTGTGCTGTTAAAAATCCAACCCAACTCAGCATCCTCTTCCAGAAGAGAGTCTTGCCATTGTAATCTCACTGGGTACATTTCCCCACATTGGTGGTTTCTATGGGTCAGTACCAAGGCTCCTGCAGGTGGGACCACTTTGGGTTCCAAATCTGGACCATCGTAATGGGAGCTCAGTGAAGAAAGCAGAGAACCAACCTCTGGCAGGAAGATAAAGGCCTTACCTTTTAAAAAATATATAAATAAATAAAGACGGGGGGTTCTCACTATGTTGCCTGAGCTGGTCCTGAACTCCTCGACTCAAGGGATCCTCCTGCCTCAGCCTCCCAAAGTGCTGGGATTACAGGTGTTAGCCACCACACCTGGCCAATTCCTTCTTATTCTTTAGCATGGAGAGACATCAGTAACACTCTACAGCACAAGACAGTACCCAGCAGGCTGACTCCTTCGTTCGCAGCTTTGGAAGAGCCTGGCCAGGTGGGTTATACCAGTCCCAGCCAGACCCGTGCCAATAGGGTGAGGCACAGGAAATCATACCTTGGTTCTGAGAATGTTTTCCTGGTGGTTTTGGTGCATGTAAATGCTCAGGAAGAGGCCCACAAGGAATGGCCCGAACCGGCAGTAGGGCTTCGTGTAGTACTCTGAGAAATACAATACAGTCGCCTCTTCACTGAAAAGTACAAGGAAATGTGGCACAGGGTTACCTTTGATCTGGACATGGCAAAGGGAATCCGAATCCCTGAGACGTCCATTGGGATAATCAGCAAACCCAAAGGTACATTTAGGACATGCTTGTTCATTTCCTCAGTGATCGTGTGCAAACAGTGACCTCATGGTCCCACCTCAGCCAAAGCTGGCTTAAGTTCCAAATGCCCTCAGGCCCCTCCATCCCAGATCCCAAGGAAACACGATGAGTATGTTCGTTTTAAATAGCCGTTTCTGGTGGCCAATATGTCAGAATGCTCTAAAAATGTAGCACCCAGATGTAAACCTAAGGGTCCCAAGGACAGAGGCTGTCCTGAGAGAGAAGCTATATGAGAGGTCCAGGCCAGGCCATTGAAAGGACGCCAAAAAGTATTCTGTGAAGCTGTGGTTTTCAAAGTATGGTCCCTTGACATCAGGTCTGGCGGCCACACATGTCATCCCAGCACTTTAGGAAGCTGAGGAAAAAAAATTAGCCAGGCCTGGTGGCACATGCCTGCAGTCCCAGCTGCTCAGGAGGCTGAGGCAGGAGTATCACTTGAGCTCAGGAGGTTGAGGCTGCAATGTGCCATGATCACACCACTGCACTCCAGCCTGGGTGACAGAGCGAGACTCTGTTACAATAGAATAAAAAACAAACAAAAAGCAAAAACACCTACGTCACCTGAGAGCTTATTAGGAACCCAGATTCACAGGCCTTACCCAGACCTTCTGGCGGTGGGCCCAACCATCTGTGTGTTAAGAAGCCCCCCACGTGAGCCTGATGCCCCTCAAAGTTGAGAAGCATTGCCTAAACAGTGCCCTTCACGGGAGATATCCAGGCTATACCCAAGCCATGGAATCATCACCTCTGTACGTGAGACCCAGGGACTAGAAATTTTTTAACTCTCCTGAGCTTCCCATCTGCAGCCTAGATTGAGAACCCCTGCTTTAAATTTATCACCACTCCCTAGTGAAGCTAGATGCACTCTCGGCTCTGAGTCCCCTAGCTGCCCATGCAGGGACTACTGGAGGAGGAAAGGATGTTGAGGACGAGATGCATGGTTTTTCCACTGTGGCTGCACATTAGAACTCTGGGAGCTCTTACAAAAGTCAGCTGCCTGGGTCCCACGCCCAGAGATTCTGATTCAGTGGTTTGCAGGTGGGACTGGAAGCATCAGAGGAGTTAGAAGCTCCCAGGTGATTCTAGTAATATGTGGCCAGGTTTGAGAACTGCTGGGCTAGACATGAGTGAGCCTCCTCCTCAATCACCTGGCCATGTCATGATATGGGAAGGGCATCTTGCCATGATATGGGAAGGGCAAGTTCCTGGTCAGGAAACTTGGGATGCTGTCACTGATTCCTTCATTTAGTCTCACATGCCACCCACTCACAGATTCACATGGTGCACTTACATGCCAGGAACTATTTTATTTTGGAAGGTCGGCAAAGGCTGCTCTGAGAAGGTGACATTTGCACAGACACCTGAACGATGTGAAGGAGAAAGCCCTGCCGGGATCTCAGAATTTAACGGAAGAGTAATTCAGGCTAGATAGCAAGTGCTAAGGCCCCGGGTCGGGGAGGGTGGGGAAGGGGGTTGGGGAGCATGCTTGGTGTGTTGAGATGAGTTGGTGTGGCTGGTCCAGCGTCAGCAGGTAGGAGGGTGACCGATGAGGCCACTGGAGGAATTCGAGCAGATGACTGACATGACCTGATTTTCATTTCTGTCACTCTGGCTGTGGCATTGAGAAAAAGATTAGCAGGTAATCATACCAGTTTTTCCTGTGTAATTGTCATACATGTCTCATGGGGGAGGCGAAATAGCCCTGTGGATTGGCTCCTAGGTTCAAATCACACCTGTGCCATCCACTAGTTGTGTGGCCTTGGAGAAGTAACCCCAGCTCCCTTAAGGCTTGGTCTCCCCAGCCAGCGACGGAGCCACCAAGCAGCAATTTGCTGCGGGAGGAGAAACACAGTAGAGCCACAAGGGGGCGCTCCTTTCCTCCGAGAAGTTTCAATGGGCAACTTGAGAGAGGAGCCTCCAGTGCAGGTTAAAAGGTTCGGAAGTTTGGAAGCAAGAGGGCAATCAGCTTTCCCATTCACAGCGAATGTTTTGCACCCACTTTTTCCACAAGCCAAAGGGCACAGGGTGAACAGCCTGGCATTCATCAGTCCTCCCCGAGACGTCCTGGCCAGAGAGGGGCAGGCTGGGGAACCGTGTTACCTGGATTCGGATGGAGCCACCACGGGAAGTTTATACACCAGTGTGATCAGAGCAGTGGCTGTGAAAGATGCCAGGAACAGCGCGGCCCCAAGAAGGATGAGGATTTGTGTACTCCTGCAAAGAAGAGAGGACACGAGAGGAGTACCCTTCAGTTTCTTGCCCAACACATGTGCTTCCTATGGACATGAAAGGCTGAAAATTTTGACCTTCAGAGGAACTTCCTGCTGGCCCTGTTTTTGAGAGGCTGGCGAGGGGCAGGGAGAGCTGGGCTGGGCCTGGAGGACCTGAGGCAGCCTTGGTCTTGACCATCTATTAGCTGTGCCACACTGGGCAGGGCCTTGAACTTGAGTTTCCTGGTCTAGACAGGAAGAGTATTCACATCCTTGCCTGCCCGCCCTGAGGCTTACCGTAAGCAGCTCAAAAGGAGTCCATGCTTGGGAATGTCCCTTGTCACCTATGAAACATGATACGGACACAAGTGGTGGTTGATTTGGGAGAGAGGACTGTCAGAGGCATGGTGGGACACAGGGTGGACCCACTCCAAGCGCAGGGGAGAGGGGATCAAGCAGGGGGATGGTATGGTTTGGATCTTTGTCCCTGCCCAAATCTCATGTGGAATTGTAATCCCCAGTGTTGGGAGTGGGGCCTGATAGGAGGTGACTGGAGCATGGGGGTGGATTTCCCTCTTGCTGTTCTCATGATAGTGAGTGAATTATCATGCGATCTGGCTGTTTAAAAGTGTGTAGCACCTCCCACTTTGTTCTCTTCCTCCTGCTCCTGCAATGCAGGATGTGCCTGCTTCCCCTTCTGCCCAGATTGTAAGTTTCCTGAGGCCTCCCCAGAAGCAGAAGCCTGTACAGCCTGCAGAAACATGAGTCCATTAAACCTCTTTTCTTTGTAAATTACCCAGTCTCAGGTTGTTCTTTATAGCAGCATGAAAACGGACTCATACCAAAGGGGAACCAGGCATGCCTTCAGCTGGGGACCAGAGCCTGAGACAAATGTCTGCATGCAGGTAGTTCATGTGGGAGTAGGAATGAGGGAGAGGGAAGCAGAACAGAGAAGCAGGGAAAACCAATACCAGGCTGTGCTATCAAGGTGGCCAATGCTCAATTCTTCCAGAATGTTCCACAGGCCTTATGAAATGTACCTCAAAATTGTCCTGTGAGATGAAATAGAGAAGCATTTTCCCACTGTCTTCTATCTCACATGGGTTAAGCGTGGTCCCGCACAAATGAATTCCTCCACACTTTGAGATTGTGCGTGTATAAGACCAAGATGTTCCCTGACACCCAGAGTGAGGTGCTGTCTGGTTGCGCCTGCTCAGAAGTGTGAGGGTTGGGATTAAGAGGATCTACAGTGGTGTGGAAGAAATATAAAACACAAGTGCAAAACCATCCAGGCACAGCCTGACCTGGAAGATGCCTTTGACAATCCAATTCTACTATTGGAAGTTGCCACAGCTCTTCGTGAGTAAGGGATGTGATAGATACTATTCAGTTATCACCATAGTGATTCAGGGAGCACATGATTTTCAGCCAGAGTACCAATGCGAATGTAATGTTTGGAAGAAGGATGAACCCTAGCTCCATGGTGCTATGATTGATTAGTAATGTCTGCTATGAGTGTAGGCAGGGGGTTATGGTGATGATGCTGTGTGTATATTTACTGTGACTTCTGCCAGACCCCTTAGCTCTTCTCTCCTTGAATTACTGAGCTCCAGAAAGAACTGATTCCACTGGCATTCTATGGAATTATATTCTCTGAAGGAAGTCGAGCCCTACTTTTATACTTCCCTCCACTTATAAGCTAAATCTTGTTGCAGTCACAAGCTTGGACAGTGTAGGCTGTCCAAGGGAACCAAAGGGGAACCAGGATTTCAGCCGAGGGACTGAAATCCACCTTCCACGACAGCCTCTGGGAAAGACGCTGACATTGGAGCCAGGGCTCCTCAGTCCCAAGGACACTCGCGTGGATTCCCAGGCAAGTCTAGAGTCAGGAAGCATAAGAACTCAGTGTCCTAGGTAGGTGGTAGTCAGGCCATCCAATAATTCTTCTTTTTTTTTTTTTTTAACTCTGTTGCTTTGTAACACAGGCTGGAGTGCAGTAACTTGATCTAGGTTCACTGTAACCTCTGCCTCCCAGGCTCAATCCTCCCACCTCAGCCTCCCAAGTAGCTGGGACCACAGGTGTGGTGTGTACCATCATGCCCGACTAATTTTTGTATTTTTTGTAGAAACAGGGTTTCAACATGAGCCAAGGTGGTGTCACTGCACTCCAGTGTGGTGACAGAGTGAGACTCCGTCTCAAAAAAAAAAAAAAAAAATTAGGATGTTTTTCCCTGGCCTAAGATGCTTGAATGTTTGCAGGTGACAAGAATGGATGTCACAGATCAGCCTGAGATTTAAATATCTGCCCTGAAAGGGCAAGGTCAGGAAACCCTGAAGTAGAGCAGAGTGGGTCTGTACCTACTAGGAATGCAGCTCTGCTTTCAGTCATCAAAGACTTACAAGTAACATGTGAAACATGACATTTTTCTATCTATCCAAAAAAGGAGCCTTGTCTCTTATTTTGTTTTATTATTAATATTCCATACTGGCAACAGTTAAATTAGATAACTAGAGAACTGAGTATTTGATGTACCCTCTATGGAAAGTGATTTATCATTATGATTCAGGAACCCAAAAGCCATTCATGCCCTTGGACCTAGTAATTCCCCTCAAAGATATATGTTGAAAAGAAATATCAAACTTGGAGACAAATGGTTTCCATGAAAATTTTGCCAAACCATGATTTATGAAAGCACAACATTGGAAATAATCCCAGTATTTAATAATAGAAGGTATACAGAAATTATGTCTTTAATTCATGGAATGGAATGTTAGGCAGAGGTTAAAATTATATTACTTTAAAAATAAAATAATATAGGAAATGCGTGTGGCATAAAATTATTGAAAGAAAGATACTAAGGTGTATATACAGAATGCTTTCATGTATCAAAAGCTGAGCAGAGCCTGGGAAACATAGTGAAACTTTACTCTTTAAAGAAGTTAAAAAATTAGAAAGGTACAGTGGTTCATGCCTGTAGTCCCAATTACTGGGGAGGCTGAGGCTAGAGGATCGTTTGAGCCCAGGAATTGGAGGCTGCAGTGAGCTGTGATGGCACCACCGCACAGATGGCCTGGGTGACAGAGCAAGACCCTTGTCTCTTTAAAAAAAAAAAAAAACTGGGCAGAAGAAATATCAGAAGGATAAGCCCCAAAATATTAGCAGTAAATTCACCTTGCCTTGACTGACAATGTGGAACTGGGGTAATTTTCCCCTCTCTCTTAACTCCTAATGTTTTCCAATGTTTCCTAAATTGAACATATATTTTAACAAAAAGGAACAATAAATTTTTTAATATGGCATGAATAATCCACAACTATAAGTCTCTCCATGAATTCTTGAGGCCTTAAGGTGTTTCTAAAACTAACAAAAATTAAGGTGATAAATATCCAATGTGGGAAAGCCGGTGCACTGACGCCTTGCTGAGGGCATGGTAAATTACTTCACTCTTTCCGGAGAGCAATCTCACAAGATGTAACCAGTGCCACAAAATTGTTCCTACCTTTGACCTACCAATTCCACTTGGAAATCTGCCCCCATGGAAATAAGTAAGAAAAAGTAATATGTTCAAAGGCATGCATTGCAGTGCCATTTATCATGAAAACTTGGACACGATCTAGATGCCCAACCATGAAAAATGGTAGATAAACCCTAAAACTGACATGAATGCAGGTTATGTCAATATGTGGCAATGTTTATAAGAACAGTTAAACGGAAAATGCTGAGCACTAGATATTACATGCACACACTGATCGTAACTGCAAAACACACACTGACTTGCGTAGGATAAATGTTGGAAGAGAATGCGGAAAAAGGCAAACAGTAAAGGATTTGGCATTTACTTTTCTGTAAAGTTAGTTTCCTACATGTTAAAAAGCAGCTCTGCATGGAACTGGGGCACTTTCTGAGGGTTTTGTGAAAGAGGCCACATGAGGAGAAAAGCTTGTCCCAATCAGACTCACTTAGCGTGGATGAAGATAATTACTGGGGTGGTGAGGTGGAACTGGAAGTCATTGGCAAGGTACCAGGTCCAGCCATTGCACTGCAAAGAGAGCAGAAAAGGTCACTTTTCCTTCATTGACCAGTTCTGCTCCATACTTTCCACCCGCCTCGACGAGGAATAAGAATTCAGTAGATGGGAGGGCGAATTTCTGTGGGAAGACAAAGGAAACTTGAGTTTGTGATGTTAATATTTCACATGGCTCATCTTGAGCCTTGTACCAAGCCTGGATGGCAGGTACTATTGGTGCCATTTTACAAAACGGAGATTCAGACAAAATTTCTCTTTTGCTTAAAAAAGAAAAACGACCATAGCCCATCTCCTGGGACAGCTGTGGGAACTGAACTCTGTCATGTTACAGAAATGTCAGGTTGTCATCACCACAATGCAGTTGGAAGTCAGAGGGGTCAACGTTTTTCTCTTTTCTTTGCCTTTCCCCATGCCCCAACTCTAGGTGGAAAGAACATGTTCATTTAGAACCAGGGCTTGGCTCCAGATGATGTTTTGTGGGGAACTCTAGAGTTCCCATGGATGATTGACATGGGATTGCCTGGCCAAAATGAGTTCCACAGACCATCCATGCTTGTGCCAGTTGGTTACCAGTATTTTTTTTTTTCTTTAATGTGGGGAAGTCCCGGGGGGCAGTTATCTCCAGAGGACTGTGGCACCTCTGCTTTTAAGGATCTAAAGTGAGCTGTACCTCCAAAAGGCCACTGGCTGGTATTCCCACTGCTTCCCACAAATGGCCCAGATCAGTTTGCAGGGGGGAAAACAGTTCAGAGTATCCCGGGGAACCCCATCACAGACAGGCCCTCTGAGAGGGGGGCGCCACCTGCAGGCAGGTAGATGGTGATGCAAGCCTGTCCAAACAGCTAGGCATTTCCAAACGGAAGGCAGCCAGATATCTAGTTGGTGAGTTGTGATGTACAATGATGAGGACCTGCCATGTTTTAGCGATTCCCTTTGCAGCCTTGATTTGAAGGCATATGTGGAATTGGTGATATGACTGAATTATAGCTATTTCACTTTCACTTGCTTCAAGTTCATTATGAGGAAACTGGGGCTTTGGAAAAGCCAAGACATACATAGATGCTCTTGCTCCAAACCACCTTGGTCAGGTCTACTTTGAACTTCAGTGGAATTCAACCCAGTAGGGGTACGGTGCAGTGTCCCATCGTGGTACAGGCTCTCCAGACAGAGGTGAGGAATTTGTCCTTTCCCGGTGGGATGACACGGGCTGACACAGGAACAGTGATAGGGCAGGGTCAGCTGCCTCTGGGACATGTGCCAGATGACCGGCCTCTTGCTGGCTACTGCTATGCTCCCCTCCCTCTGCTGTTCACAGCAGCTGCACCCTGCATAGCCTGGTGTGGTTACACCCACCCCATGACCAGATTGCAGCCTACCTTTACTCCAGAGAAAACACCAGAAGAAAAGGGACCAGACTCAGGTTTGCCCTTGGAAAGCCCCCCACACCGCATGAAGAAATGATGGGCCAGGTTTGCACCCTTCTGCCTTTTCAAAGCCAGCAACGCGAGACTCACCGCACTCGGGACCGACACAAAGTTATTTAGCAACAGCAGATTTGTCCACCACGCTTTCCGGCAGCTATCCCAGTGGAATTTGGGCACTTCCCAGACAGGTCCCCAGGGAATAAGAGAGAACAGTCCAACCAACAAGCACACTGAATACAGGTGAAGAGGCTGCAACCTGGCAGGAGAGAGCCGGGAGAGAGAAGGTGACTTTCCACAGGGGTCCCTCCTGTCCCCTCAGCGGGCACGTGGCAGGTGGGGCATAGGTGCTCAAAAACAGATTGTTTATACTGTGGGCAGCCGCCACCCAGCACCCACAAGTTCAAGGTCACTTACTGAACACCCATCATGTATGGGCTCAGGTGTCACTGCTGCAAAAATACTGCGATTTATTTCTTTATATTTTAGAGGCAGGATCTCACCCATTACGACTTTGACTTCCACCTCCTGGGCTCAAGCGATCCTCCCACCTCAACCTCCCAAGCAGCTAGAACTGCAGGCGCATGTCGCCATGTCCCACTAAAAATCCTGTTATTTACTGAGCTGGTCGTATAGTTCAACCACTGTGGGAGGAGCCTCCTAGGGATGTCTAACCCTCAAAACCATCCTGCAAGGTAGCCACAACCTCCATTTTGGGAGGAAATTATAGCTAAGAGAAGTTAGGGTGACTTGCTCAAGGTCAGCAACCACATAGGAATACCAAGACCTGACACCTGTTCATGTTCTTTCCACGTGGCCTCACGAGATGAAAAGCTCTTCCTTTCCTCCCTTGCTTCATTTCTCCCTTCCTTCACACCCTACCTCCTCCAAGCAGGATCTGAAGCAGCTATGAAGGGGAAGAGGCAGGAGCAAGGTGTCTAGACCAGCGCTGTTCAATAGAAACACGATGCACGCACGGCTGTCCCCGGTGTCACATCTTCCAGTAGCCACAATATAAAAGGTAAAAAGATGGTTCACGCCTGTAATCCCAGCACTTTGGGAGGCTGAGGCAGGTGGATCATGAGGTCAGGAGTTCAAGACCAGCCTGGCCAAGATAGCGGAATCCCAACTCTGCTAAAAACACAAGACAAATTAGCCGGGTGTGGTGGCGGGCACCTGTAACCCCAGCCACTCGGGAGGCTGAGGCAGAGAATTGTTTGAACCCCCGAGGCGGAGGTTGCACTGAGCCCAGATTGTGCCACTGAACTCCAGACTGGGCGACAGAGTGAGACTCCATCTCAAAATAAATAAATAAATAAAATAAAATAAAATTTAAAAAGGTAAAAAGAAATAGGTACAACTCATTTTAATATAATGTATTTAGACCGATATATCCAAAATATTAGCATTACAAAATGTAGCCAATATGAAAGATTATTAATAAGCTGTTTGATATTATTTTCTCTTTTACTGAGTCTTCAGAGCCCCGTGTGGGCTTTGCACACACAGCCCATCTCAACTGGCCACTTACCTGGTGGCTATTTGCTGGACAGTGTGGGTTTAGGATTTAGAAGTGAGATTATGGACTGGAGGTACATACAATTCTGGCATGGATTCTGGATGGGCTGGGGTTGGAGCCCTCTTCTAAAAGAATACAGCTAAAAATCCAGGGTAGTTTTGGCTCAGCTAGGACAGACCAATGGCCCAGCGGTACCTCCAAACATCTGGGTGAGAGGGTGGGAGCTGGGTGGTGTTGACAGATAGGAACTGGCAGGACTCGGAGCATCTCCACTTAGCAGCGCTCCCCCAGCAGAGAGGACTCAGCACCAAACCTCTGGTCAGCGCCCGGGAGCGAGACCATTGATTCCTCTGTTCTCACCAGTGAGAACATCCTACATAGAGAGTGTCCGGTGGTGGGAGGGCAGTAGACATTCAAGGAGAGGGAGTGGCGTTGTTGATCAATGTCATAGAGGAAAGACAGCAACTCCGTCAGGACACAGCTTCCCAGGCCGGGCACTGTGGCTCACGTCTGTAATCCCAGCACTTTGGGAAGCCGAGGCAGACAGATCACAAGGTCAGGAGTTCGAGACCAGCCTGGCCAACATGGTGAAATCCTGTCTTTACTAAAAATACAAAAATTAGCCAGTTGTGGTGACGGGTGCCTGTAATCTCAGCTACTCAGGAGGCTGAGGCAGGAGAATCGCTTGAGCCTGGGAGGCAGAGGTTGCAGTGAGCCGAGATCGCACCATTGCACTCCAGCCTGGGCAACAGAGCCAGACTGCATCTCAAAAAAAAAAAAGACACAGCTCCCCAGATCAGCTTGCCTGCACATTTGCTCAGGCGACAGCCTCCCTGGGTCCTAGGCCCTGGGTCCTGCCATGTTTGCCATCTGACCACACTGCCCTGCAGCTGCCCCCACAAGCCTCCACCCCGCCTCCCTGATCATCCTTCCCACCATCTGTCACCTCCCTTCCCCATGGGAAGTAGTCGGCAACTGCTCCCTTCAGAAGCAGAGCAGAAGGGAGCGTTCCCCTGCCCCCTACTCCAGGCAGCATCCCCTCCTCTGCCAAATCCCCGCTCCCTGGGGTGCGTGTTGAAATGCAGGCTCGGTCTGCAGGCTGTTGGATGGGCCTCGCCTTGAGTAGCAAGCCTGTCTCAACTTTCACACTGAGAAAATCATGTATTGTCTCCTCTTTCCTCTTCTCTAAAAGGGAAATGATGGTTTCTGCTTTCTGAGACTTTTTGAAAATCTAATGAGATCAACAAGAAAACAGTTTGAAATTTCTAAAACACCCTAAAATGTACGCGTGCTACATGTTTGTCCAGGTTTCCAAGAGAATGAAAGTCAGAGTGTGATTTCAAAGATTAAAACGTAGGATACTGGCCAGTGCGGTGGAGGTGTGAGAAGCAGGCATTCTCATACCTGGTGGGTGGGGAGGTAAATTGGAAAATGCCCACATAGTGTTAAATGCACAAAACCCCCAATTCCACTTGTAGGAATTTAGCCCACAAACATATCTATACAAGTGCACAAAAATATAGGGATTGCCTCATTGTCTAAGACGGCAAAGAACTTGGACATTACCTCTAGGCCACTAACGGGGACAAGTTAAATACATAGTGGTACCCCCCTGTGCCAGACCGACAAGCTTTAACATCAGGGCTGTGGATTCTTGTGTGCTAATAGAGAAACAGGCCCAGTCTGGCCGGGCGCGGTGGCTCACGCCTGTAATCCCAGCACTTTGGGAGGCCAAGGTGGGCGGATCATGAGGTCAGGAGATCGAGACCAACCTGGTTAACACAGTGAAACCCCATCTCTACTAAAAATACAAAGAGAGAGAGAGAGAAATAGGCCAATTCTGTATTATCAAGTGAAAACAGCACGTGCAAACAGTGAAGTATGTAGTGCAATCCTATTCCTACAGGAGAACAGCGCTTATAGATACGTGGAAAGTTTCTGCAAGAATTCCTAAGAAACTGTTAAGACAGGTGTCCTGTGGGGAGTGAGACTGGAAGGGGGACCCTTTATTTTAGTTATAATCTTCTGTTGTAGTTAGACATTTTCATCATAAGCTATTAAAAAAAAATCGTAATTTTTAAAATGTAAAACTAGTTGACATAGCCGGGCAATTCTACAGCTCTAGAACCCGACTTTGTTCCGATACCATTAGGTAATCTCTGTCCTGACTTCACCCTAGAAGTTGGGTTTGGGGATTTTCTTATAACTTGCAGTAGCTCCCAAGTGGTTTTCCCCAATCTCCCGAATGGCTGTAAGAGAATGGCCCTGACTGCAGCCGGAGTGCGAATTGCAAGATGTGACTTTGCGCCTACCACGGCCTTGCTGGGACCCTCCAAAGCTTTGTCTCAGAACAATAGGGAGCTCCTTAGGGCAGCCTCCGCCCCTCTCTGACCTCATTCCTCCCACTGTCCATGTGGCTCGCTTCGCTCCACAAAGCACCTTTGGGCTCTCTGAGGCTCTTCAGACACTGCAACGCCCCTCCTTCCCCAGGACCTCTGTGCTTCGGTTCTCCCGGCATGGACCGTTCTTCCCCCACAGAATTTTCTTTGCTTAGAACAGTCCTCTACTTTGCTCTAGGCTCTGGCCAAGTTACCTCCCCTAACTGCCCTTCCAGAGAAAGTTTCCACCTTGCTTTCTTCTCCAATGTGTTTATTTATTTATGGCCAAGTCTTGTCCCATCACCCAGGCTGGAAAGCAGTGGTGTGATCACGGCTCACTGAAGTGTCAACCTCCTGGGCTCAAGCCATCCTCCCGCCTCAGCCTCCCGAGGAGCTGGGACCACAGGCGCACGCCACCACACCAGGCTAATTTTTTGTATGTTTTGTAGAGATGAGGTCTCACTATGTTGCCCAGGCTGGGCTCAAACGCCTGGGCTCAAGGGATCCTTCCACCTTTGCCTCTCAGACTACTGGGATTGTAAGGCATGAGCCGCTACACCCAGCCTCTTCTCCAAATGATCACTTTGTGGAACCCATCCTCCCTGGCTTAGCAGACATTTATTTGCATGCTACAACTTCAAATTGCATATTCATTTATTATTTATTTATTTATTTTGAGACAGAGCCTAGCCCTTTCACCGAGGCTGGAGTGCAGTGGCATGATCTCTGCTCACTGCAACCTCTGCCTCCCGGATTCAAGTGACTCTCCTGCCTCAGCCCCCCCAGTAGCTGGGATCACAGGCACATGCCACCACGCCTGGCTCGTTTTTGAATTTTTTTTTAGTAGAGACGGAGTTTCACCATGTTAGCCAGGATGGTCTCGATCTCCTGACCTTATGATCCGCCTGCCTCAGCCTCCCAAAGTGCTGGGATTACAGGCGTGAGCCACTGCGCCTGGCTGCATATTCATTTATTTATTATCTGCTTCTCTTCACTGGAATGCTCCTGTGAGCTGGAAGGCACTTTTGCCTGGCTTATTAAAACCCTCTTCTCAGGGCTTAGGACAGCACCTGGCACATAATAGGCCTCCAGTGAACACAGGATGAGTGAGTGAACAGTCTTAGCCCATCCTCCTGGAGATAAGCAGACAAGTGATCAGTGCTAACCAGGCAGCATCAGTGAGTTATACCAGCATGCATGAGAACCTCAAAATGGCCAGAGGAGCATGACTCTTTCTTCACTACGGTCACCTTAGTGAGGGTGAGTTCAAGTTGTGGGTTGGTGACAACTCCCTCTACTTTCAACAGAGCTTTGTCCCAGGTTGGGCTGATGGTCTCCTTAGCTCTCACCTGCCTCTCCTCCAGAGTTCCCAGCTCAGGAGCATCAGCACCACCTGCCATGTGACTCAAGCCAGGAAATCCCTGAGTCCTTGGTCTCTCCTCTCTCCATTCCCACTGCCAGTTGCCAGTGCAAACCCTGCTCTGCCGCTCGGATATTCAGTAGTTTACTCGCTGGGGTCCTTGCCTTACAAGGCTTCACTACCACCCCACTCTCACCCCGTGCCCCTCCTGACCCCACCGCTGCTCTATTCACCTTGAAAAATCCCCTCTCTCCTCAATCCCAGCTCCAGACTTGTACTCTGAAGTAGGTTTCTCAAGGCTGGATGCAGTTGCTCACAATTGTAATCCCAGCATGATGGAGGCCAAGGCGGGCAGATTACCTGAGGTTAAGAGTTCAAGATCAGCCTGGCCAACACAAGAAACCCCGTCTCTACTAAAAATACAAAAATGAGCCAGGTGTGGTGGTGGATACCTGTAATCCCAGCTACTCGGAAGGCTGAAGCAGGAGAATAGCTTGAACCTGGGAGGTGGAGGTTGCAGTGAGCCAAAATTATGCCACTCACTCCAGCCTGGGCAACAGAGCAAGACTTCATCTAAATAAATAAATGAAATGAAGTAGGTTTCCCAAGCAGAACCCACTATGCCGTTAGATCCCCTGCCCCAACCCCCACCTAACCCCTCTTAGCATCTATCACCATGAACCCTCAGACTGAACGCCAGTATCTCACCCCCAGAAAACCTCAGGGCAGGACAGGATGCTTACCCCAGTGACACACACCTGAAATATATTGAAATCATAAGCCTTCTTTCCTTCCCTGGAGGAGGGCTCGATTTTACAAAGCTTGGAAGTAACCACAAAGACCATGGTGAAAAGAAACCAACAAAGGTCTATTCCTTAGCTCATCCCCATTCTTCACCTACTTGATGGAAAGCTTAAAAGGCATAAATAACAACCACACTAATAATGATAGCTCCTACTTACTGAGGGCTTACTATGTGTAAAGCACCCTTCCTGTTTCTTTACATACACTATCTCATTTAATCCTCACAAGAGTCCTATGATGTGCCACTATTCTTCCCATTTTAGAGATGAGCAAACACTAGCACAGAAAGATGGAGACGCTTACTCAAGGTCACACCACTGCTGTGTGATGGAGCCGAAATCCAAGTTCAGCAGTCCAACTATGGAGTCTGCATTTGCCCACTGCGTTTCAGTCACCCCAAAGATTGTGACAACACTCCTCTCCCTATTTTGTGACAGTGCGGGGTAACAAGATGAACGCAGACCAGGAGTCAGGAGTGACGGCTTCCAGCTCAGCAAATAACCAGGACATAGAAAATAAATAAATGGCAGGGTCAGATGCCATGAGCTGAAGTTTCCTTTTCTCCCTTAACTTTGTGGTTGTTTGTTTGTTTGTTTTGAGACAGGGTCTCACTCTGTTGCCCAGGCTGGAGTGCAGTGGCATGATCTTGGTTCACTGCAACCTCCACCTTCCAGGTTCAAGCGATTCTCCCACCTCAGCCTCCGGAGTAGCTGGGGTTACAGGCACGTGCCACCACTCCCAGCTAACGTTTTTTATTTTTGTTAAGGAGTTTCATCATGTTAGCCAGGCTGGTCTCGAACTCCTGACCTCAAGTGATAGGCCTGCCTCGGCCTCCCAAAGGCCTCCTGAAAATGCCTGGGATTACAGGCATGAGGTACCGTGCCCAGCCCTTCCACCCTTAATTTTGGCTGTCTCATTCCATTGCTGCCACTCTGCTACCACTGATTCTATATTCTGCCCCAATGTTAGAATCCCTTTGGCATCCACCAACCACACCTTCCTAAAGGAGACCGTCATTCTTCCTGCCTCCCTCCCAGCAGAATGGCCATGGCCCAGAGCTTCAACCAAGTTCCTCTCCTGGTCATGTATTGTTTTATTTTTATTTAATTTTTTTTTTTTTTTTTGAGATGGAGTCTTGTTCTGTTGCCCAGGCTTGAGTGCAGTTGCTCGATCTTGGCTCACTGCAACCCCCACCTCCCAGGTTCAAGCAATTCTCCTGCCTCAGCCTCCTAAGTAGCTGGGATTGTAGGCACCCACCACCATGCCCGGATCATTTTTGTATTTTTAGTAGAGACAGGGTTTCACCATATTAGTCAGACTGGTCTTGAACTCCTGACCTCATGATCCACCCGCCTTGGCCTCCCAAAGTGCTGGGATTACAGGTATAAGTCACCGCTCCCAGCCCTATATTGTTTTATTTTTATCGTTACCATTAGCACTCTGATTTACAGGATCCAATTACTGTTAATTTACAGACAAACAAATTCTCCTGTTGAATATAGATTCCATGGAAATCTGACAGTGCATTTATTAAACTCTGCTGCCCATCAGCTGAGGTCTAAGGGTGTCTTTGCCAGTGGAACATACCAGTTTTCATGGTGTTTGTCCCAGTAGAATTTGAACCATATTAAACCAGCTAAAATCAAATGTACTTAGGGAAAAAAACTATTTCTTTTAGTTTGTTTTTCTTTGGAAATTCTTTCAAAAGAGGGTTAAAGTCAGAAAACTAATAAATTATTACATAGTAATGAGGAATTGAGAAATTACATAAATAAACCTACCTTACCAGGCGACTGAGAACATATCTGAGTATGACTTTAGGGGTTATTCCTTTGTCTGAATTCTGATGCATCTTTAAAAACGACCTTGCGCTTAACCATCCACTAAAAGAAAAAGAAGAATTGTCACAGGAATTACTTATCAGTAATACAGTTCAGCCTGGCACGGTAGCTCATGCCTATAATCTCAGCACTTTGGGAGGCTGAGGCGTGCGGATCACAAGGTCAGGAGTTTAAGACCAGCCTGGCCAACATGATGAAATCCTGTCTCTACTAAAAATACAAAAATTAGCTGGGCATGGTGGCAGGTGACTGTAGTCCCGGCTACTCAGGAGGCTGAGGCAGGAGAATCACTTGAACCCAGGAGGTGGAGGTTACAGTGAGCTGAGATCGCCCCACTGCACTCCAGCCTAGGCAACCTAGCAAGATTCCACCTCAAATAATAATAATAATAATAACAACAATAATAATAATATAGTTCATTGATTGATTCATTTGCTTGTCCCAATCTGGACAGAATAAATGATGCTGCATTATCAAAGCACCTCCAAGTCTTAAAATGATTGTTTTGTTCTTGCTCATGCTGCACACCCAGGTTGACAGAGCAGCCACCATCTGAAAGCTCACCAGTGACCATGGAAGATGACAAAACGGCATTCTGGAGGGCCGCAAACCAGCAATGAAACCCTCGAATCTAAAAGTGTCATGCTTAAAGCTCTTAGTGTGAGAGTTTAAAGCACTTAGCATAATGGCAATACCAGGTACCACTGGGTCAGAACCAATGATGCGACTCCCCCAACCACAATGGTGCCCGGGAGTGGAATGCTGCCAGCTGCCAGAAAGGGAGGGAGACAGAAACATTTGTCAAACAATATTAATGACTACCATTTGATCTTTTGAAATAGTAACACCAAGGCTTTCCATTTGTGTAATAGTACATCGCTTTCAAAGTACTTTCGCTAATGAGATTGCTTTTGATTCTCCAGTTGTACCAAACTACTTTGCAAAAAAATATTTGTTGGCTGGATATGGTGGTTCCCACCTGTAATCCCAGCACTTCGGGAGGTGGGTCGATCACCTGAGGTCAGGAGTTTGAGACCAGCCTGGCCAACATGGCAAAACACCACCTCCACTAAAAATACAAAAATTTGCTGTGCATGATGGCGTGTGCCTGTAGTCCCAGCTACTCAGGAGGTTGAGGCAGGAGAATCATTTGAACCCTGGAGGCGGAGATTGCAGTGAGCCGAGATCGCACCACTGCACTCTAGCCTGGGCAACAGAGTGAGACTCTGTCTCAAAAAAATAAAGAGAGAAAGAAATGTTTGTTGAGTGAATAATTGACTAGATGAATTATAAACAGCCCTATTAGGTAAAAAGGAAGATACTATCATTCCTGCTTCTCTGACGGGAAAAGTGAGACCCAGAGATTATTAAGCGGGTTGCCCAAGATCACAAAATTCTTAACCAACATACCCTGATGACAAATTCATTATCCAGAATGTTCAGCTAAAGAAACCAAAGTTATGCCTTTTAATTGCAACCGATTGAGTAAGCAAGTATGTGAGTTTCTCAACCTTTTGACATTTATACCAGTGATCACTGTGGGTGTTTCCCTAAGGAGCTAATGTATTTCCTATTGCAAACAAAGCCGTGCGTTGGGTGGGACTTGGAAGGGATCAGGGAGGGTTGGAGAATGTCTCTATTCTCTGCCTGCCAGATTTTCCTTTGAAAAGCAGCAAGTTGGACTCATTAAATAGGAACAAAATTTATAGAGACATCTAAAAGAGAATGCTAAGAGGGGGAAGCAGGGCAGCCAATTCTGATTCCAGCCTCCTCTTAATTTCAGGAAAGGATAAATCAGGGCAATTCTTTCTTTTCAGAGTGACTGGCTCCCCCTCTGCCACCACAGTTGCTAAGCAAAGCCTGGGTCTCGCTGTGTGTGCAGGCACGCACCTCCCAGCCTGCAAGTTCATCCAGAGAGGGCAACAAGAAAGACTGGCAGGAAAACAAGCTCTGAGCAAGATAGCTAGCTCCAAGGGGCTAAGACCCAGAGAGCCGAACCCATTGCAACAGAGAAAAGCATGCACTAGTGATGGATGAAGTCAGCCCCGAGAGTGGGAGAGGATCACAAAGCAGTCACCATCAGAAGGCTTTGGTTGTGCTATGTAAATATCAGTGACATAGTAAGACGTGGTTTCTTGTGAAACAAAGTACACTTAAGTTTTAATTCTTTTTTTTTTTTTTTTTTTGAGACGGAGTTTCACTCATGTTACCCAGGCTGGAGTGCAATGGCGCGATCTCGGCTCACCGCAGCCTCCGCCTCCTGGGTTCAGGCAATTCTCCTGCCTCAGCCTCCTGAGTAGCTGGGACTACAGGCATGCGCCACCATGCCCAGCTGATTTTTTGTATTTTTAGTAGAGATGGGGTTTCACCATGTTGACCAGGATGGTCTCGATCTCTTGACCTTGTGATCCACCCGCCTCGGCCTCCCAAAGTGCTGGGATTACAGGCTTGAGCCACCGCGCCCGGCTTAAGTTTTAATTCTAACCTTACTAGCTGTGTAGACTTGGACAAATTACCTCATTACTGAACATCAAGAAGTTTCTCTTCTGTAAAAATGGGGATGATATGGATACCAGCTTTATAGGTTTATTGTGAGAATTGCATGGGATAAGAGATTTCAAGCTCTTAGCATAATGGCAATACAAGGCATCACTATTAATAATGGTTCCATTGTTGAAAAGAAAGTTTTAAATAAAAGAAAGTGTGAATGTTTGAAAGAAATACAATAAAAACTGAAGGAAAAGAAGAAAAAGACAGTCACGGAGACTGGTGGTGAGAAAAGGAAGCAAACAGTGATAAAGAGAAAAGAAATGTAAACTGAGCCTCTAGGCTGCTGTCAAAAGCTGCCTGGCTTCCGCCAGCTCTGTCGGCCTCAGCTCCTCCTGCCTGGGCTCACACAGAGTTTCTCAGGCTTCAGCAGGCACAACCCGGAGAGCTTGTGACAGCCCAGATTGCTGGACCCATCCCCCCAGAAAGTCTGATTCAGTGTGTCTGGGGTGGCACCCAAGAATCTGCTCTTCTACCAATTCCAGGTGATGCTGGTGAAACTGCATCGGGTTGGCTATCCGAGGAAACTGACATAAGGCACGGCCCTCCCTGATCCCAGACCAATCCAGGTGGGAGATAGGTCATCTTTACATATGTGTAGCTTTCCGGGCTGTTTGGTATTTCAGTAGCCTTGGCCTGCACTTTAGATATCGCAGGGCTGATCTGGTGGCTTCTCTGGTGTCTCCAGTTCCCCCTGATGGCCCAGGGATGACCAGGGGCCTTTCGTGCCCCCCATCTTTCCATCCTAGTGGCAGCTTTCCTAGTCTCCAGATTGAGTCTGACTTCAGTGCCAGTCATCCTGACCTGTCCTTGCCAGTGTCCCTCCCAGGGCTCGGAACCCTGCCAGTCAGTCCCACCCCTGTATACAGTCATTTTTGCCTGGCTTGCTGGGAACAGAGTTCTGGTCTTCGACTGCTGCCCCTGGGCAGACCTCTCATTCTCCAGGGGCCCACTCTAGGTCTTCTGCAGCTAGGCTTCCCATGCCTGGTGAGACCCAGTTCTGCCCTCTTGGAAAGTCCGGAGCCCAGGGATTCCCGAATCACTGCTGGATTTGCTGTACACTGTGAACCCTGAGCCTGGCCTGTCTGGGATCCTCTGTCATTGTCACCTTGGCCACCTCCTAGCATGGCCCTTAATGGACAAGTCTCAGCTCATTCTGCATCCCTCTTTCTCAGCATTACCGTAAGAAACTATCACACCAGACTCTGGAGATAAGACAATAAATCATTCATTTCAACAGTGACTTATTGAACAGTCCTCCATGGCTGGCACTGCTTTTGTACCTAGTGACAGAGCAGTATACAAAATAGAAAAACTTTCTGCCTTACATTCCACTGGAGAGACACAGACAATCAATCAATTGATCGATCGATCAAAAATGGCAGCTAGGGCCGGGTGTGGTGGCTCACGCCTGTAATCCCAGCACTTTGGGAGGCCGAGGCGGGCGGATCACAAGGTCAGGAGTTTGAGACCCGCCTCATGGTGAAACCCCATCTCTACTAAAAATACAAAAAAATTAGCCAGTCGTGGTGGCGAGTGCCTGCAGTCCCAGCTACTTGGGAGGCTAAGGCAAGAGAATCACTTGAACCTGGGAGACGGAGGTTGCAGTGAGTTGAGATCGTGCCACTGTACTCCAGCCTGGGCGACGAAGGAAGACTCTGTCTAAAAAAATTAAAAAAAAAAAAAAAAAAATGGCAGCTATAGTATGTTGGATAAAATGAAAAAATGAAGTCAAGAAGACTGGCTAGCTGCACTTCAGATGGGGGGATGAGGAAGGCTTTGCTTTGTAAAAACTTGAAGAAGAGAAATTGAACCACCAGGATTTTAGGGAGGTGGGTGTTACAGAAGATGGCTGGTGATTAGTAATCCCTTACTATTGCTCTACGCAGCATGGGGGCAAGTTCTCTCCTAACTGGATGGTTCATACACATTTGAATTTAATGACTTTTTTTTCCCCCCGAGATAGAGTATCACTATTGCCCAGGCTGGAGTAGCTTTCTTCTCTTGAACCCAGAAGGCGGAGGTTGCGGTGAGCTGAAATTGAGCCACTGCACTCCAGCCTGGGTGACAGAGTGAGACTCTGTCTCAAAATAATAATAATTATAATAAGTGGTTATGCTCTATTGTAAATATGCTAAATGCCACTGAATTTTACACTGAGTGGTTAATTTTATGTTATGTGAATTTTACCCCAATTTTTAAAAACAAAAATAGGAACTTTCATGAGGATTAAATGAGATAAATTTTCAAAGTGCTTACCACAGTGCCTAACATTTCTCAAACAGTTAAGAAATTGTACCTCTTAATAGTTCATATAAAGATAACCTTATGAAACATCATGCCGTTTTCTTAATTTTTCCCATTTCGCTATAGTGAGAATTGGGAACTTCATGGAGCACCTGTACCAATCTGTGGGCCAGAATTGGAGAACCACGGAAATGAACAATTTTGATGAATACAATCAATGTTTGTAAAAGGCCTGTGTTATAGCTCCATCCTAACTCATTTAATAAACTGAAGATACAGTGGAGAGTCTCTTATGACCACAGCACTGTCTAGAAATGGACAGAGACCCAGGTGAATCAACGTGGGTCATTCAGCTTTTCTCATTAGAGTGAGAATGGTAACACACACGCATACACACATCCCGAAACACACAGCAACAAGCCCGACAGCAGTGAAAACACAGTTCCATCTTATCACCTGATCAGGAAAAACGTGTCAACTCCAAGATAGAAGGGCCCGCTCCGAGAGTAAAGGCACAGTGGGTTTCGAAGAACTCTGCTTTTCCATTCAAGCACATTATCTGCAACAAATATTAAACAGCAGTGTCTCTTGGTTTCTTAGAAGAAAATCCTGGGATTTCTCTTTTCAGAAAAAGCAGGAGGAACACCTTTAACTTTTAGCTGTACTGGGCGGGCTTTAAGAATCAGTGTAATGGCCGGCATGGTGGTTCATGCCTGTTATCCCAGGACTTTGGGAGGCAGAGGTGGGCTGATCACTTGAGGTCAGGAGTTCAAAACCAGCCTGGCCAACATGGTGAAACCCTGTCTCTAAAAAAAAAGAATCACTGTAATTCTGCTGGGTGCAGTGGCTCAGCCTGTAATCCCAGCACTTTGGGAGGCCGAGGCAGGCGGATCACCTGAGGTCAGAAGTTCAAGACCAGCCTGACCAACATGGTGAAACCTCGTCTTTACTCAAAATACAAAAATTAGCCAGTCGTGGTGGCGGGCGCCTGTAATCCTAGTTACTCAGGAGGCTGAGGCAAGAGAATCACTTGAACCCAGGAGGTGGAGGTTGCAGTGAGCCGAGATCATGCCACTGCACTCCAGCCTGGGCAACAGAGCGAAACTCCACCTCAAAAAAAAGAAAAAAGAAAAAGAAAGAAAGGATTTACTGTAATTCACATAAGAGGAGAAGTTAGCCTGGGAATAAAAGGTGGGAGACTGAGGTCCCTAACGGCTGTTCAGGAGCTTTGAGCTCCTGTGTGCACTCACAGTGGCCACAGCGCCCTTGGACTATACAGCAGCACCTATTCATGGGCTGATGCAGATGACCCGGGAGGCTGCTTCCATCTGCCCTGGGCTGTGTTTGCCCCCATAAAGAATACCACTATTACGGATAGGAAAGTCTGGACCCAGGGGTTCCCACATCACTGCTGGGTTTGCTGCACACTTCAGGAGGGTAGCAGCAGGGAAAAGGTGGAGGAACACTGATTTGATGCTAGGGCACCATGTTTATTTATGCTTGTCTGCTTCTCAAGGAAAAAATAAATGTTAGTTCCTAGCTTCATTAATCATAATGAGACAGAACTCTGCTATTTGGATGATGAAAATACAATATCCAGGCCGGGCGCGGGGGCTCACGCCTGTAATCCCAGCACTTTAGGAGGCCGAGGAGGACGGATCACCTGACGTCAGGAGTTCAAGACCAGCCTGTCCAACATGGAGAAACCCCACCTCTACTAAAAGTACAAAAATTTAGCTGGATGTGGTGGTGTGTGCCTGCAATCTCAGCTACTCAAGAGGCTGAGGCAGGAAAATTGCTTGAACCAAGGAGGTGGAGGTTGCAGTGAGCCAAGATCACACCATTGCATTGCACTCCAGCCTGGGTGACAGAGCAAGACTCTGTCTAAAAAATAAGAAATTTAATTTTTAAAAAAATGAAAATACAACACCTAGGTATCACTATTCATCTGGCAGCCAGGTTCCTGAATTATACATAGGGAGAGTGAAAGAAGCTCCTAGACACTGGCCTGGAAAGTTTACGGATGGGAGGTCACGCAGCATTGCTAAAACAGAAGGAAGGCTGCTCATGGGAAGGCTGCCAGCCTCCCATCCTTTGGCCAACATGATCCCACCATACCAAAGAGTTTCTTTTCCCTGACTGCTCCTAGAGTAAAGGCTTATCAACTCCCCGCACCCAAAGACAGCCATGCAGTCATCTGATTGGTGTGTCCCAAGATGATCCAGAGGAGACTCAAGACACGAACGCCATTCAGCGCAGAGCAGGTGCCGCCTGGCGTCTTTGTAGTCCAGATGGCTGGCACATTCCTCTGCCATGAAAAGCACTGCAGAGCATAAGCCACGGCTCGTAGAAACCCTGGGCAAGAGCAAAGGTGTTACTGTCCACCCCGACCGCCAGGGTATCCACACGCCACCCCGCAACAAGAACCAAAGCGCAATCCACAGATCTTGGCAGTTATGCAGAGGCTCTCTTGCTCTGACCCTGAACTTCTCAGTTCAGTTCCATGGTACCATCTTGATCTATCCGTGGACTTTCATAGTTGGCATCCCTCCCTTTTGAATCTTGACTTTCCCTAATAGACTTAACCTGAGTTTGGTGCCTCACGTGCTTTGCACAGAATACGCTGCCCAAGCTCAGGCCCCAGAGACGTCAACCTCTGACCCCAGTCCTGTCTGACAAAGAGTCGAGGAAAAAAAGAACACAAACATCAGTAAGGATTGATGTGATCACAAAGCAAGCATTTCATTGAAAGAACACCCCCGCAATCCTGAGGACCAGCTGCTTCTGAATAATGAATAATGGGCAGGGTATTGTGGCTCACGCCTATAATACCAGCACTTTGGGAGGCCGAGGCGGGTGGATCACGAGGTCAGGATACTGAGACCATCCTGGCTAACATGGTGAAATCTCGTCTCTACTAAAAATACAAAAAATTAGCCAGGTATGGTGGCATGCATCTGTAGTTCCAGCTACTCGGGAGGCTGAGGCAGGAGAATTGGTTGAACCCAGGAGGCGGAGGTTGCGGTGAGCTGAGATCGCGCCATTGCACACCAGCCTGGGCAACAAGAGCAAAATGCTGTCTCAAAAAAAAAAAAAAAAGAATTTAATTTTTACACATCCTGAGAAGCAAGCGTCTGAAATTGTAAAACAGGCACCTCCAAGCTCAAGCCAGCTCTGAGAGACTCACATTTCCTCCTGGACAGAGCCCCGTGCCTTCAACATTGTGGGCACAAAGAAGTCTTTGCAAAATTAAAACTTATTCACAAATGAGGTCTGGCCCATAACCAAGTTCTAGAAGTCTAAATCAATTTCTTAAATTGAAGGACTTCATTACCTAGTATTTTGAAGTTCCAGCCGTGAATACAAGTTTTTCCCTGTAAGTCACTTTGTGATTGCGTATCTTTCTGAAGTCCCAACACCCACCCTATTCATTCACGGGGTTTTTACTCAGGAATTGGCCATGAGTACAGCCAATTACATTACTGGTTGTAATGGGGATTCTAGAACATCAAACGTCGGGTTTGATGCCTAATGTGGCAAGCTAGCACTCAAAATGTTTTGTTGTTATTATGTTTTTTTCCATCTAAATTCTACTCGTGAGTGAACTTACCCATCAGTGGTGTATAAAGGCTTCTGAAAATAACTGCTCTAGAGGGAAGACAACCTCGCTGATGCTCGCTTAGCCCATTTGTAAATGGAAAGTGTTATAAACCAGAAGGACGTGGGGAGGATCGGAGGAAACCATGCATGCAGTCACCGGTTCCCAAAGTGGAGGGCTTGGAGCCAGCAGCTTCAACATCACCTGGGAACTTACTAAAAATGCACGTTCCTGGGCCAGCCACCGAGGCTCAAGCCTGTCATCCCAGCACTTTGGGAGGCCGAGGTTAGTGGATCACAGCGTCAAGAGACTGAGACCATCCTGGTCAACATAGTGAAACCCTGTCTCTATAAAAACACAAAAAAAATAGCTGGATGTGGTGGCATGCACCTGTGGTCTCAGCCTCGCAGGAGGCTGAGGCAGAATTGCTTGAACATGGAAGGCGGAGGTTACAGTGAGCGGAGATAGCGCCACTGCACTCCAGCCTGGCAACAGAGTGAGACTCAGGAAAGAGAGAGGGAGAGAGAGAGGGAGAGGAAAGAAAGAGGAAGGGAAAGGGAGGGGAGGGGAGAGAAGAGGAGGGAAGGGGGGGAGGGGAGGAGGAGGGAGGGGAGGGGGAATAGGGAGGGAGGGGAAGGGAGGGGAAAGGGGAAATAGGGGAAAGGAAAGGAAAAAGGAAAGAAAAGGAAAGGAAAGAGGAAAGGAAAGGAAGCAAAGGAAAAAAGGAAAGGGAGAGAAGGGGAGGGGAGGGGAGGGGACGGGAGGCAAGGCACATTCCCAGGCCTCACCACAGACCTCCAAAGTCAGTCTCCGGGTCAGGGCCCAGGAGTCTGTGCTGTAATTACCTCCCGGTGACTCTGATGCATGCCAAATTTTGAGACCCACTGGTTGTTGACAATGCTTCAAAAAACCTTGCAGCCTCTTCGGATTTGCTCAATCACTGTGAGATCACTTTAAGCAACAGACCATTAAGTAAGGGCCCTGACACCCAGGGGCTGAAATCCACAGCTATGTATGTATGGCATGAAAACTTCCTCATACAGTCGCTCATATTTTTCTCGTCTAAATAGCAAAGGACAGGCTCATGTAACAGGAAACCATTCTAAGCAAATGCAATGGTTATTTGGAGGATAAAGAGTCAGGAAGCCAAACACCCAATTTGGCTTTGAATTTCTAGAAGACATGGTGGTCTTAGGATGATTGGACTCACTGATTAATGCAAAAGTGGAGAAAAAAAATGTTGAATCTCTGGGTCTCTCCATCTTGATTTTTATTTTCAAACACTCACAGGTGTAATATTTTACCTTTGATGGGTCTTTGTTTTTTCTTTCTGAGATGATAGGGTCTGGCTCTGTCACCCAGGCTGGAGTGCAGTGGTGCAATCTCAGCTCACTGCAACATCCACCTCCTGACTTCAAGCGATCCTCCTGCCTCAGCCTCCCGGGTAGCTGGGATTATAGGTGCACACCACCATACCCGGCTAATTTTTGTATTTTGTGTAAAGACGAGGTTTTCCCATGTTGCCCAAGTTGGTCTTGAACTCCCAGGGGTAAGCAATCTTCCTGCCTTACCCTCCCAAAGTGCTGGGATTATAGGCATGAGCCACCGTGCCCCGTGTTCTTTGATGGTATTAAATACAAAAATGTAAAAATTTTTATGGCAACAGAACATGGAAAGCCCCCATTTTGAGACCACGTTTAAATGTGCCTGCTAAGAAAAGCTAGCATCATTTTAATGTCCGGATCATAGAGTGCCTCGTTTTGGGTGAGGAGCCTAAAGTTTCTGTTCCTGACACCCTACCAGGTGTGTCTGGCCTAAATCCTGTGATCCAGCCTTTAAAAGCCTGGCTCTGAGGGCCAGCCTAGCACAGATGAATACAATGTTGAATTCTGATGACCGTGGGCTCCGCTCCAGTCAGAGGGTGAGAAGCACGTGGCATGTCTCTGCAATCCACCTGACCCTGCTGCTCCCTCAGCGAGGTCAAAGCAGTCCAAGCATGTAGCCATGGCGAATTTAAGCCCGACCCTTTCTTTCCTCTCCTGGCTTCACCCAAAAGAATGAGGAAACAAGGAATGAATTTAATAGGAGGTAAGTACTCATGATCTCATTGAATTTCTTCCACAGATCCCATTATATGCCCCTGTTTTACACACGTGGAAACTGAGGCGCCCAGCCCTCTTACTCCACATGTTCTGAAGGTAATTGGGTGACCAGGCCTTTTTGTGTGAAACAGAGATATATTCTATTTGCCTTGCTGTATAGGCAGGCAGGTAGAAATGAAGGCAATGCTGTTGATTTTTCACTGAAGCACAATGCAGTCTCACTCACTGAAATCTGGCCTCCCACTACCTATGCTGGGTTAATCTGTTTCTGGCTCACACACATTGTGCTGCGTGAATGAGCTTGTGTTGAATGCTCACCATCCGCCCTTCAGTTTCTATGTAAATCATTTACTTTCCTGGTGATGGCAAGAAGCTTCTACGGGTCATGTGTGTAAGTGTGACACTGAAAATAGACACTGTGACTGTGGAATTGTTCCTTAGAGAATTGCTGCAGTGAAACACCAAGCCTTGTTCTTTGATCAGCACAAAAACACACTGGATAATTGTACCCACAAAATAAAGCAGCATTTTTAGTGACTTTGCCTGACCTTAGCACACTGATGGTAAACAAAGACAGGATTGTCAAAAGCAGAGATCCAACCTCCACACTGACATTTGGAGCTGCCAGGCATTCACTAGAAGCCAGCACTGTAGCCTTCATTTCCACCTGCACACTCTGCTAAGTCACCTCTCCTGGGTGGTCCTAGTTTCATTCAAATACCTACTTTTTCCTCTGCTCGGGGCTGCTGACCCGGGGAGATGCGCCAGACGGTGGGTCTGTGGGATTCTGCTGCTTTGTTCATTGCTCTCCACCTCGCTCAATGGCAGACTCCCGTAAGTGGCCCGAGTGCCCCCGTGTTCCCACGATGTCCTACAGGCTGACCCCCACTCCCTGGCTGCCACGCAGACTGTTCCAGCCAGAGGGAGGGCAAGACCCAGCAAGGTGATGACCCTGCAGGAAGAAGACACGACAGCCACGCCTTCCCTCATCTCAGGACACCAAAACCCATGCGGAGAAAACCAGCCTGTGAAAAGCCACGTGCTGCATATTTACGTAAAAAAACATTTCACAATATTAAGGGTGGAGAATGACGCTCTAAGAATAAAACTAATGAAAAAGAAAATATACAAAGAAAATATCAATGGATTTCACTTAACTTGTCATCATTATTTTTTAAATCATAAAGCACCCAAAATACTGAGGAAGATATTTGCAGCTGATATGGCTAAGAATTAATATTCTTTATACACAGAATAAACTTTAAAAATTAATAAAAACCTGGCTGGGCGCAGTGGCTCACGCCTGTAATCCCAGCACTTTGGGAGGCCGAGGCAGGCAGATCACCTGAGGTCAGGAGTTTGAGACCAGCCTGGCCTACACGGTGAAACCCCAACTCTACTGAAAATACAAAATTTAGAGAGCTTGCTAGACGCCATCAAGAGCGAGGTGGAGGCGGAGGAGCGGGGCGCCCGGGCCCCTGTACCTAGCCCCGGAGGCAGAGGAGCGGATGGCCAGGCTGTGCGCCTAGGCAGAGAGGAAGACCGCAGAGGCAGCGCGGATGGGCAGGAGGATCGATCCGATCCGATCGTGGAGCTGCACCAGCGGCAGTGCTGCTGAGTCCTCGGGACCTCGTGGGGCTGGAGCGGAGCGCGGCGGGGAGTGTCCCGCGTGGAAGGCGCTGGGCAGCCAGGGAGGGGAGCGCAGAGCCGTGCCACGCTCTCCGCCAAGTTGGTTTCACTCTTTTTTCATAGGTTGCCAACTGATGGACTGTGTTGACCTGATAAGGAGTCGTGGCTGCTTGGACAGGCTGATACAAGAGAGCCTTTCGTTTGGTCTCCCCTGTTTTTCTGCCTGCTTTTTCTCTACATTAGCCACTAATTTTCCAGTACCATCCTGGTAGATGACTTCAGCATTAGATGGTCATGTGTATTTTTTGATTAATAAGTGCATTCAGTTTGGAAGAGGCAGCTTTTCGTTCATGTCCCACGTAAAGGAATAGGGTCTGTACAGTAGTATGCTGCTGTGTGGTCATATTTGTTCCAGTGATTTTATTGTATTTTCAAAGTTTGGAAGTATACCCTTGTGCTTTGCTATTTTTTTATGCTTCTTGGAATTTGGGGTCTCATGAGAGACTGGAAGTTAGAGTTCTACAAGTGAGAAGACACTACGTGGCTGCAGCTGCCAAAATCAAGCACCCGAGCCCCTGTCAAGGTTGAGAATGCGACTTTGGATGAGATTGAGAAGGCCCCAGTGGACGGCTGGTCTGGAAGAGTGGCGGTGTGTGGATTTGAGGACCTCTGCACACCATCAGATCTAAGGAGGAGAGCTGTTTTGGTGTTTTGTTTTTTTGTTTTTACAGCATTTTGTTTTTTCCTGGACTGCAATTTTCCTATGGCATGTTAACTGGTGCATATCATGTAGCCTGTCTGGTGAGCAATCTACAATTGGGATGAGTTCTAGGTACATGTGTTTGACAACTTTGGGGTAAACTTCGTTATGGTAGAGTCTCTGCCACAAATGCATGTGACCTTTTCAAGGGCCCAGAGTGGCTGAGGAAGGAAAGCTTCAAGCTGGCCGTGAGGGTCCCAAACAGTCATTTCAGGCTTAGATGATGACTAGCCCAGGTCATCAGAGCTCGGACTCCACAGGGACTAAAATCAGAGCTCTGCCTTGTTATGATAAAGTTCATTTGCTTGGAAAAACACATGCTGAAAGCCAGTTTTTAGAATCTTTGTGCAGATGACCAGAGCAATTGGCCAGGAAAAAGTAAGATGAATAAACATTTTTCAAAATGGAAAAAAAAAAAAAAAAAGAAAATACAAAATTTAGCTGGGCATGGTGGTGTGTGTCTATAGTCCCAGCTACTCAGGAGGCTGAGGCAGGAGAATCTCTGGAGCCCAGGAGGCAGCGGTTGCAGTGAGCTGAAATCGCCCCATTACATTGCAGCCTGGGTGACGGACTGTCTCAAAAAAGAGAAGAGGAAGAAGAAGAAGAACCACCTAACTAACCCACACATGGAAAAGGGAGTGAAGAATATGAACTTACAAGAGAAAAATACAAGTAGCAGATAAACTTAGGAAAGTAAAACCCTCTTTGCCCTTTTTCTGAAGATGTAAATTAAACCAGCATATTCACCTATCAAACTGGTTCCAGTTTTTATAAAGGTAGCAGTTTTGATGCTGGTGAGAGGGTAAAGAAGGTCCTGAGAGCTTCCTACTGGGGGCAGGAAAAATGAACTTTTCAGGAAAATATCAAATGATTTGAGAGTGATGGCCCAGCAATTGTACTTCTATGTAATTTATGCTAAGGAACAAACAGGAAGTATTGGGGGAGTTGCTGCAATGTCTGTAGGCAAGGCAATGTCTCAGATACAAGATTCATCTTCCGCGGTCCCCTGACAGCAAGGAACAGGAGTATCTTGGGATAGAATACGTTTCTCAGTGGTCCTCAAACCAATCACACTGGGCATGGCCGGCCTTCCCCTTGAACACGTTCCCATTTTCTTGTTTAAGGTAAACGGTGGGCTCACATGGTGGCTCACACCTGTAATCCCAATACTTTAGGAGGCTGAGGTGGGTGGACCATCTGAGGTCAGGAGGTTGAGACCAGCCTGGCCAACATGGTAAAACGCCATCTCTACTAAAAATACAAAATTTGCCGGGTGTGGTAGGTGCGGGCCATAGTCCCAGCTACTCGGGAGGCTGAGACAGGAGAATCGCTTGAACCCGTGAGGCGGAGGTTGCAGTGAACCAAAATTGTGCCACTGCACTCCAGCCTGGGCGACAGAGCAAGACTTCATCTCAAAAAAAAAAAAAAAAAAAAAAAAAGGTAAATGGTGATCTCCCTGTGTCTCAGTAGTCTGGCCGCTATAACAAAATACCATAGGCTAGACGGCTTATACATCCCAGAAATTAATTTCTCATAGTTCTGGAAGCCCAGGATCAAGATGCTGGAAGATTCGGTGTCTGGTGAGAGCCCACTTTCTGGTTCATAGATGGCACCTTCTAGCTGTGTCCTCACACGGTGGAAGGGGTGAGGGGGCTCTCTGGGGTCCCTTGCCTAAGCTACCTGACCACATTCATGAAGGCTCTGCCCTCATGACAGGCACCTCCCAAATGCCCCATCTCTGGATGTCATCACATTGCGGGTGAGATTCCAACGTATAAATTTTGCGGGGGAAACAAAAACACCAGACCATAATATCCTGAAACAGACAGCACTGGCCAGACACCGTGCAATGAACAAAATCACGCAATGAATGAAATGTGATGGTGAAATGCAGCTGATGAGGGAAAGTTGATAAAACAGTACCGGGAGATCACATCCCGCCCAGGTACCTCGAAGTCCGTACTCACAGACACACGGCCGCAAACGTGTCCAGGGGGAACATTCCAGCAGCACATCTGGCCACACTCCCACCAGACGGGGAGGAAGAATTTGTTGTAAAAAGAGAGAGGGACGGGGCCAAAAATGAAGTATTTCTGAATCTTAAAGTATCTAGCAAAAGAGAAAAAGAGATGGTATAAATCATTTAGTTTGTCATAATGCCTTACGTTTTTCAAAGTGCTTCCATATCTGTTATTTCAAAATGAAACTTTTACACTAAAAAGAGATGACAGCTGGTGTCGGGCACGCTGGCTCACGCCTGCAATCCTACACTTTGGGAGGCCTGTAATCCTAGACTTTGGGAGGCCAATGAAGGGGGATCACTAGAGGTCAGGAGTTGGAAACCAGCCTGGCCAGCATGCTGAAACCCCGTCTCTACTAAAAATACAAAAATTAGCCCGGTGTGGTGATGTACATCTGTAGTCCCAGTTACTAGGGAGCTTAGGCAGAAGAATCACTTGAGCCCAGGAGGCAGAGGTTGCAGTGAGCTGAGATCACACCACTACACTCCAGTCTGGCCACAGAGCGAGACTGTCTTCAAAAAATAAAATAAAAGGGGGACAGTTGGTTTTGAACATATCTGATTTACAGTTGGAGGGAAACAGGGCACAAAAATGTGGAAACCCACAGAATGAGGAACTCTTAGCCCAGCTGGAAGTAAACCGGGGTCTCCCAAATCCGTCTGTTCTCCCAGCCTTTCTTAGCACATGGTACTGGGAACAAAAAGCCTAAACACGCACCATTGCTGGCTCAAATCTCTTTGTGAACAAGCCCCCCCTCCCCAGGGAGAAATGCAATATAAGATGGAAATATACAATTGAAGCCCATAGTCTGGGGAAACATGGCATCTGAAACTGAAAGTAAGAAGCAGCAAGTCAGGACACAGCCCACGAGCACGGGAAGAAACTGTGTGTGAAGATGTTACTGGTAAGACTAGCGCCACGGTCTCCAATCCTACAAGCCTCAGAACTACCTGGAGGGCCTGTTGGCTCTCTGCCTCCCTCCCTGCAAGTTTCTAATCCAGGAAGTTTGAGACGGAACCTGACTTTGCACTTACTGACAAGTTTACAGGTGCTCCTGCTGTGAATCCCAGGACATGGTTAGAATTAAGACCAGGGGGCTTCCCAAATCTCCACAAACAACGGGGACCCGGTTTTCCTTGTTTGTTAAATGGGGATGGTAATAGTACCTAGCTCCTAGGGCTGCCAGGAGAACTCTGATGCAATTATTGTAACGCCCTTAGGACAGTGCAAGGCAGGCAGTAAGTTTAATAAATGTTGGGTGTTCCTCATCTTACACACCACATTGCCTAGTCTTGCATTCAGGAGCTAGTTTGAGCTAGCTTGCTGTGTGACCCTGAGCAAGTCACTGCACCTCTCTGGGTCTCATTTCCTCATCTGTGTAGCAGTGAAGGGTGGTTCGGACATGATATATTCTTTTATTATTATTATTATACTTTAAGTTCTGGGTTACATGTGTAGAACATGTAGGTTTGTCACATAGGTATACATCGGCCATGCTGGTTTGCTGTCCCCATCAACCCATCATCTAGGTTTTAAGCCCCGCATACATTAGGTATTTGTCCTAATGCTCTCCCTCCCCTTTCCCCCCACCCCCAACAGGCCCCTGTGTGTGATGTTCCCCTCCCTGTGTCCATGTGTTCTCATGGTTCAGCTCCCACTTATGGGTGAGAACATGCGGTGTTTGGTTTTCTGCTCCCGTGTTAGTTTGCTGAGAATGATGGTTTCCAGCTTCATCCATGTCCCTGCAAAGGACATGAACTCATGGCTGCATAGTATTCCATGGTGTACATGTGCCACATTTTCTTTATCCAGTCTATCATTGATGGGCATTTGGGTTGGTTCCAAGTCTCTGTTATTGTGAATAGCGCTGTAATAAACATACAGGACCAATGGATTCTAATACCTTTTCCATCTCTAACAGTCAAGGTTCCTATAAGTCTGTGACCCAAGGTTTCTGAAATATCCAAAAATGCTGCTGAAAGATGAATAGTATGTAATTAATTCTGATTCTTAATGGTAGCATGGTAAGGGTAGAAACAAGGAGGAAGGGTCCTCTGTGTGTCCTCAGCCCCGGCCAGGAGTGAGGGTGCTTGGTCTAGGTTACGGCAGGTCCCCACAGGAGAGCTGGCAGCAGAATTTTTCATAATCCAACTCCATTTGCTCTAAACCAGTGCTCCCCAGAGTTAGTATTTGGGTTTCCAAAATAAACTCTTCCACTGAAAACGAAATGTACCGGCCAGCCAGAGCACATCTGTTCCCTTCGGAAGTTCCATTTCTAATGTTAAAGGAATTGAGTGGTGTTTTTGTTTTGGTTTGGTTTGGCTGTTTTGGTTGGTTGTGTTTTTTTTTGTCAATCAACCACAGCCCAGCTCTAAATCCTGCCATAGTAAACAAAGCCAAGTGGACGTCCAGTCGGCCTTAAGTCATCAGCCTTAGGTGTCTGTGCTATGCTAGATTCCAGATCTACATGCAGAATATGAAACCTCTGTTGAATCTGTTTTCCAGCAACTTCTCACCCCACCCCACCCTGACGTCTTCACTCTTTAGACAGGTCAGCTCAAGCCCTGTCTAAATTCCCCACTCTTCCTCTAGCCATGCTGGGCTCTGCTCCTCTGACTTGTACGCCCAGCCCCATCACTTGATGTGAGAGTGGACATTTCTTTCCCAGCAGTGTTTCCTTATAGCCAGGCATACACACTTTTCATTCCTAACTAAATTGTACATTTTTTGAAACGAGTAACTCCCAATCATTTTGATCTCCCCAGCACATACAGGTGATGTCTCATACAAAGGCCAGAGAGAAATTGCTCAATAAATATTTCCTGAATTGAGAACACAAAATGGTCTTCTGTAAAATGTTTTGGATTCCTTTTGAATTCTTAGCCAAAAAGGCAATTCTGTGGGTAATTCAAGGACTTACTATTAAAAGAGTTCCATTTTCCCCACTGGTGCTCAGGAAATCTGTAAGAGAGAGTTGGAAGAGAAAAATATTCCCCTGTGGTTCTAGCACCATTGTTCTGCTATGTGGGGTTAGTGATTCTTATAGGCAAAGCAAGGTGAAATTAGCCTCATAGACCATAGGAAAGAGCATAGTTTAAAGCTCATTGTAAAGGACTGTTCAGTGTTGATTCTAAGCAGCTCAGAACTCCTTGCTTTTGGCCACTGCAAATCGGGACAGTGTGATCATCATAAAATGTTATAAAGTCTCCAGCAAGACAGTGAGTCCTCAAGAATGGAAATATGCAGCCCTTCAGTGTTTAAAGGAGAACTCTTAATAACGTATAGTCTGGATAAAATCAGACACAACTCAGTGTTAAACAGACCTTTAAAACAAACCCCAGGCTGGGTGCAATGGCTCACACCTGTAATCCCAGCACTTTGGGAGGTCGAGGCAGAAGGATTGCTCGACTCCAGGAGTTTGAGACCAGCCTGGTCAACATAAGGAGACCCCATCTCTTCAAAGCATTTAAAAATGGTGGTGCATGCCTGATCTCAGCTATTTGAGAGGCTGAGGTGGAAGGATTGCCTGAACCCAGGAGATCGAAGCTGTAATAAGCCATGATTGCACCACCGCACTCCAGCCTGGGTAAAAGAGCAAAACCTTGTCTCAAAAAAAACAAAAGCAAAAACAAAAACACCCAAGCCTCTTCTTTTTCAGCTCTTGTGTGGTCACTTGACCAGACAGATCACCTCTGCCTCACAATTAAACTTCAGCAGGATTATCTAACATTTGTCAAGCATGGTCTAAGAGCAGGGCTCTGAGCTAAGGGGCTGTGAGTCCCCATCAGCCCAACTCCCTGTCGTGTTAAAGGAACCTCAGATAAACTAGCCAGACTAGGAAGTAGGTATTAGGCAGTCTTTTGGGTTGAACTGTGTCCCCCAAAAAGGTTCAAGCCTTAAGCCCCAGTACCTGCAAATGTGACCTTATTTGGAAATAGAGTCTTTGTAGATGTAATCAAGATGAGGTTAGGGTGGGCCCTAAATCCAGTATGACTGGTGTCCTTATGAGGAGGGAATTTTGGACACACAGGGAAGAATTCCACATGTGGGCGGAGGTAGAGGTTGGAATGATGTGGCTACAAGCCAAGGAGTGCCAGGAAGGGCTGGCAACCACCAGGTGCGCGGAGAGGGGCAAGGAACCAGCTCTCCCTCAGAGCCTCCAAAAGGAACCAACGTCATCAATGCCGTGACTTAGGATGTTCAGCCTCAAGAACTGAGAGAATGAATGTCTGTCGTTCTAAGCCACCCAATTTGTGGTCACTCGTTACAGTAGCACTAGGAAAGGACTGTTAGTGACATCGAAATGCATGGGTCTGGATTTTTAGAAAAATATCCCATAAATTGGGTTTTGTAATCACCACATCCAAGTTTGATCCAGGCTCCCAGCATTCTGGTGTTACATATTTTTATTCTTAGGAACTCACGTGAAGTCTGTTGGGTGAAATTTTATAACATTCCATGACGACAACTGTGCGGTGTTTTGCCCCAGCCTTTGGCCAAAAGCAGTTTTGTCCTGCCCTTCCAGGATCTTGCTCTCCCTCTGCAGAACTGGGGCATGTTCCCTTGGCCTATCTACGACCGGCCCTCCCTGCGTTCCTCCTCTGGGTGAGTGCAGTCCGTGCAAACAGCTTCCACCTGGTACTGCTGAGCTGGTTGTCTCGCATCTGTAGAGGAGTATTGGCAGCTCCATCAAAGAGCTTTAAGGAATAGCTGACAAAGCCTTTCCAGATGGGGACTTTTACCCTGGGCAAAGACCTCCAATTTCTATCTGCTGCCTCTGTGCCAGAGCTGGAAAAGTGCCTGGGCAGCAAAGACTAAATTCCCCTAATCCATCCACCCGTGTCGGCTCAGCTCACAACCAGACCATTTTCTTTTTCTGATTCCTCAAAGAGAATCTCCATCTTGTTTCTCTTTGAATGCTACTTTTTCAAAAAAATTTTTTATCAATGACATTTATTTCGAATATTTTATTTTATTCTAATGTCAACTCTGGCTAGAAAGCTTAGCATTAGTCTGAAAAATTAGGATAATTGACGAATCTCTTAAATAATAAGGACTATTAACTCAGTGGACTTACAGAGTCACTCAATTGAAATGCTAATTTAATAATAATTACACATTTATCTTTGTTTCTAGGATATTTATGGCTTATCCAACAAGAATTGAAATTTGAATTTGATTTGTAACAATTTATTGCTTTTTTAAACAGCACATGAAATACATGGCTAGATATATACCCAAAGCTATAGGAATCGTCACAAATGCAGAGGACCGTTTAAGAGTTTGCCAACCAGCTGCAATATCAAGACTTTAAAGGAGAACTCTTAATAATGTATAACTTTATTATGTGTTAGTTCCTCTCCAGATGACCAGAATAAATATAAAAGACACTAGTGGCAAAAATCTAAGCTTAAAACTCTTGCTTTGAAAACTCTGAAAGACAGAGGAAGTCAAATCGGCTTCTGTGGAGACTAAAGTGTATTCCTTCTGCATAGCTAAGGGAGAAGTGATTAGAAGGCCATAGAGAGAGCCAGGCAGAGCCACCCCTCACTGTACAGAGGAAGAGACTGAACTTGGGGAGATTAAGTGATTGGCCCAGGATCATACATCTGGGAAGTGACAACCAGAACGAAATGCTGGGCTCTTAACACTAATCCGTTACAACACGTTGACCGCACACAGGCCTCGTCAGAATGGCCTCTGGATATGGCAGATGGCAGATTGCCACACATGGGCCAGGCCTTAGAACACTCATAATAGGGAAACTGGACACCACCCACCTCCTTTCTTCAGCCTAACCAAGCAGCTGTGGGCAAGGAAAGATTGTGTAATCTACACTTTTGTTAAAGATTAGGCTCTATCTCTTCCTTATTGTCTTCCTCCTTACCCACTCCATCACGATTCCACCATCTTCACCCCTGAACACCTCCAGCCTCCATTATGCTCAGTTTAATTGGATTGAGCTTGATGAAAGGTTGGTTCAATCCTGAAGGAATTACCTTTCTTGGTTCTAAGGACCTGGGGGTTTTCCAACATTATGCTGAGATGATAGTTTCACTGGCTACTCTTTTGTACCTACCCAGCTGAGACATCAGAGTTACATCCTCTTCAGCACAAGAATCGGGGACACACACGCCCACACTGTAGTCAGCCCCATCCTGGGAAACACAACGCCACATGTTCTTTCATTTTAGCATTCATAGCACATATGCATGATCATCCCAAGTAAGTTTGCTGCTAAATAATCAGATTGGGAGTGGAGAGAGAAGGATGTTGAAAGGAAAGTGGCCGGGCGTGGTGGCTCACACCTGTAACCCCAGCACTTTGGGCGGCTGAAGCGGGTGGATCACGAGGTGAAGAGATCAAGACCATTACCTGGCCAACATGGTAAAACCCTGTCTCTACTAAAAATACAAAAATTAGCTGGACGTGGTGACACACGCCATAGTCCCAGCTACTTGGGAGGCTGAAGCAGGAGAATCACTCGAACCCAGGAGGCGGAGGTGCAGTGAGGCAAGATCGCACCACTGCACTCCAGCCTGGTGACAGAGCAAGACTCTATCTCAGAAAAAAAAAAAAAAAGAAGAAGAAAAGTGTTCTAACTTCTTAAAAGATGACTTGTCCATTGCTGAGTGGTTCAAGTGAATTTCCAGAGCATCAGATGCACGCATGTATTTTTTTAATACCCCAAGGCTTAGTGGAGTTGATTCTTTAAAAAGCAACCACTAGTTTTGGATAATCTGCCCCCGTGCCTCTCTCTTCAATATTAGAAGTCATTAAGAGTTGCGTCTCCTGTAATTTTCAATACAATTTCCAAGTTGCCATTTCTCAGTGGCAGGACACAGTGTATCAAATAAAGATTTTATTAACACATGAAGCCAATAACTAGAATGCCTGTTCCAATAAGGAAAACATCAAATTATAAATAAAAATTTCTGGGGTGATTCTTCTAAACACATACTTTAGAGGATTGTGTAGGCTCGACCTTTTGCTCCAATATCAAAACCATTAATCTGCTTTGAAAATGACATTTGTATGCACTGATTAATCCCTCAAGCAATCATTATCCCAACCCTTAGCAGGACAAATGGAGCTAAGCGATCATCTCCCTGTCTCCGTGGCGCACCGTTCTAAGATCATTTTATAGCATTAATATCAGAGAGTTTGGATTACTTCTTACTACTTTATACAATTGTTATTAGCCAACTTGTAATCTAATTTTATTTGAGTACTATGTGATACACATAAAATTTATCTTTGTGTTTGATAACAGGCTATGCTGTTCCTAGTTTTTTGTTTTTTTAAACTGAGCAATAAAATGATTAACATGCTTTGAAGATAGCCCTTCAAACTTGGTCAATTGATTTAATAATGTTTTCATAAAAGTCATGGACCATCTGCTAGGATAACCTCAAATTCATGTTTAGAGCTGTTTCTGGGAAAAGGGTTAAGGGTAATGGAAAGTCCACACTGTCTCTGGTATTCTAAATGCTGTTGATGAGTCAGGAGTGCATTTTAAGCTCCTTGACTTGATCCACCTTGTGCCAAGCAATGATGTGTTTCCCTGACAGCAATGATACAGAGTGGGGATTTGGTCTGGGAAAATGATAGGAGCCCTCAAAACCTGAAGCAGAGGAGAGTCCCTATTGGACTCCAGCAGAGAAGAGCCGGAGAGAGCTAGCAAGCAAACTCAAAATAGCTCTCAAAAAGAGAGCTAGAGCATTTGAAGCTACAGAAGCTGCTGGCCAGGGCTTGACCTTGGATTCCCCATGAAAGTTGTCCAGAGGTCTTTCCCCATACAATGTGGTAGGAGGAATATCTCAAGACCTATGTGGTTTGCGAACAAGAGCCTCGTTTAATGTCCCACACTCAAGATGCTAAGCAGGTTTCTGCCAAGTATTTAAAATTGAGTTTTTATGTTTTGCAAAACATCATTAATAGTTTTTTTTTTAATTAAGAAAAGGAATCAATGGAGTTGTAATTTGTTCTATATCGTGACATTCACTTGTCCTTGAAGAACAAGCGTGCAGGTCCCCCGCACTCACCTGCAGTATATGAAGCTTGCAGTACTGCCCTCGGAAGTTCCCCTTGGGAGCACGGGTGGAAAGACACTCGCTGTATGATCCCAGCCTGTCCACATTTCCATTAAGAATGTTGCTTCCAAGCTTCCCCAGAGAGTCATACACTGAATTGCAAAGCAAGAGAAGTTTACAAAATTAGCTTTCTGGAGTCACTTTTAAATAATTGATAGGTACTCAGCTCTGTCTTCTGAATCTTTCAAACATGTATGACTGAAGAAAGAAGAGAAATAGATCTAGTCAGATACTAGTCTTTGAGTCTATGTTTTGCATTCATAGCCCCTTTCATCATGCTGGGAGAACAATGATGTGAATTTTCATGCTATTACATTGTCTGCCAACAGTCACTGGAAAAGATGAAGAGTTTGATTTCTTTTAAAAAATAAATGCTTTCTGGGGAGTGAAAAGTATAACTAAAATGTGGTAGTTGTTCTTTCTTCTCCACATAAACACAAGAGAAAAAACTCATATTTTTTAAAAATTTCTTGCAGTTTTGTGGGGCCTTACTTTTGAGGGAGTTAATTTTTTTCTTTTTTCATTTAACCTTAGGAGCGGAAGTGTGGAGTGATCAACTCCACAGTTGATGGCATTTTCAGCCCTGGTCCTTCAAAGTCTTTTTTGTTTGCTTATGCTTATTTATGCCCTTTATTTCTTGATTTAAAAATTTTGTTTCCTTTTATCTTTCTTCATCTCTTCCTTTTCCTTTCTGAAATTCCCCTCACTTCATATGTGTGTGCTGTGTATCCTCTCATTTGTAAGTGTTCTTGTTTTGTGTATGTGTATTTGCCATATGGTTTTGTGCTTCCATTCAAGGAGTTTCTATGTATGTCACACAGTGCTACATTTTTACAATTTGAAGTATATCTAGTCTGGGGCCACTAACTTCTGTATAATAACCCATCACCACCTTTGACTTAACTATTCCCCAGATGACAGATAGATAGATGACTCCAACCCACAGAAACATGCGATGATCACTTTTCATACATGTCCCTTTATAGAGCAACGAGAAGATGGAGGTCAGATTCTACCTGTGAGTGGAATTGCTGAATGATGAGGCACACAAGTACTCAGTCTCTGATAATCCAGCCAGACTGATCACTAGAGAGACTCCTTCAAACTATATTTCCCAGAGATACTGGCTTTTTTTTTTATACTGTTTAGCTTTTTAATTTTTGGCAGTTAATGGATATAAAATGATATGTAATTACTGGTTTAATTTTCATTTATCTAATTACAAAGGAGCCAGGGTATTTTTATTGATCAGTCAGCCATTTAAATGTTCTCTTCTGAACCTGTGTGTGTCCTTTGCCCATTTTTTATAGATTTTTTTTTTTTTTTTTTTTTTTTTCTTTAGCCAGAGCTGCTTACTATTCTATACATTGATTCTGTCTGAGTCATTGAAAGTATGTACTCTCAGGCAGTTATCTGTCAGTTGACTTTTCCGTGGTGTCCTTCATTGAACAGAAACCCATACTTTTGGTATCATGAAATCTACCAATATTTTGCTTATCAATTATGCTTTTGGTGTTTTCCTAAGAAATTCTTCCCCATTCATAGGTCACAAAAGGATTTTCTAATATTACCCCCTACTGTCTTTATAGTTCTACTTTATTTAGGTCTTTAATCCATCTGAGTCATGGTGCATTTTTTCCCCCTCCAAAAGGTGGGCCAGTCATTCCAAAACCACCTTTAAATAGTTTTCCTGGCTGGGCACAGTGGCTCACGCCTGTGATCCCAGCACTTTGGGAGGCTGAGGCAGGTGGATCACGAGGTCAGGAGTTTGAGAACAGCCTAGCCAACATGGTGAAACGCCATCTCTACTAAAGATACAAAAAATTAGCTGAGCGTGGTGGTGCATGTCTGTAATCCCAGCAACTTGGGAGGCTGAGGCAGAAGAATCGCTTGAACCCAGGAGGCAGAGTTTGCAGTGAGCTGAGATTGCACTACTGCACTCTAGCTTGGAGGACAAGGGAGACAACTCTATCTCCCCCCCCAAAAAATAGTTTTCCCTTTCATCATGGATTCATGGAGAAACTTTCTTGTTATATCCAGTTCTCATATATACATAGATCTGCCTCTGAGCTCTCTGGTTTACTTTGTTTATTTGAGATGACACTGACTACAGAGCATGCAGGGCCAACACAGAATAACGATGCAGGTCCCCTTGTTTCAAAATGGTTAAGAATTTGAAGATGATGACAGCAAATCACACTTCAGCCAAGCATGAGGCTCTTTTAAGAGTAGGTCCCTCTGTGACTGCAGGAGCTGCATGCCATGGAGCCAGCCCTGATTCTAGCACTGGAACCATATGGTTTTTATTATCGTGGATTTGTAGTATATCAGGTATTCTGCTTTTAGTCTTTTTTTTTTTTCAAAGTGGAACTTCTTAGTTGTAGACCATCATGTAAACAAATTTCAAAGTTAGTAACTACTTACTAAAAGTTTTAGTTTACTAACTAAAAGTTAGTTTACAAACTAAAAGTTTAATTGACTAACTAAAACTTAGTTTACTAAAAGTTAAAAATTAGTAAACTTGAGTTTCTCAAAACATCCAACTAGACTATTGACTTAAAATTGCTTTGAATTTATACATTAATGTTGGGGGAGAATTGACATTATTTTTATACAAAGCCATCATTGGAGATCATGCTATTTATGCAAATCTCTTTGTATCCTTATAATTTTACTTTTTTTTTCCCTTGGTAAACTTAAAACGGATGACATAAAACAACTCCTAAATAGAATAGAGTTGGCCATTTTCCTTGGTATTTCATTTTCAATTTACATTTTCTAATTGATCGTTGCTGGTATAGAAACATGCTATTGATTTTTACAATTTGTTCTGGTATTTGGTGAATTTGCTGAACTTTCTTATTAGTTCTGCAGTTTTATTCCCCTCTAATCCTTATACCACTTCTTTTTTCCTCTTGTAGTTTTGGAATTAAAGTTATAATCAAATTTACAAAGTGAGTTGGGGAACTTTCACACTTTTTTGCTTTCAGTAACAGTGTAACGATTATTGGTTGCCAGGGTTACTGACATTGAGAGAAGTGGGTTTTTGTACACGGCTGTAAAGAGAAAGCATAAAGGAGAACTTTCTAGTGATGGAATTGTTCTGAATCTTGGTTGGAGTGTGGCTTGCATAAATCGACACACGCCATAATGACAAAGAACTATATGCATAGATTATTTCAACGTCAACTTCCTTTTAAAAAATATTGTGCTATAGGTCAGGCGAGGCCACTCACGCCCATAATTCAAACACTTTGGGAAGCCAAGACAGGAGGATCACTCAAGTTCAGGAGTTCGAGACCAGCTGGGGCAAAATGGTGAAACCCTGTCTCTACAATGCAAAAAAAAAAAAACAGCCAAGTATGGTGGTATATGCCTATAGTCCCAGATACTCAGGAGGCTGAGGTTGGATTGTTTGAGCCTAGGAGGCAGAGGTTGCAGTGAGCTGAGATCATACTATAATTATGTTCGACGCAATTGGGGGAAACTGGATGAAAGACACATGAAGCCCTTCTTTGTTTTCATAGATTTTGTTTTTGTCTATTTGGCACTCACCATTCATCACTCGATTGTACTAACTCCATTTTCTTATTTTCTGTATTTGTCAAGCTCTGCTATCTGTGGCCTTGCTGACAGAAGGACTGACTCTCCCACGGCTACCCAATTCTTAGAAGCAGCAAAGGCTCATCCTAGGAGCATACCTTTGACATGCAAACGAATCAATCCAGAGCCCATGACCCCAACTGTCGCCTTTATCAAACTCTCACACACCAAGTCGATGTTCCTCTGCCCTAAAGTACCCCAGGGCCAGGTGCCAGATAACCTGAGATCGCCCATGTTACCCAGAGCCCACCACATTATTCAAACCAGCCAGTCCTGCTCTGTTCACCCTGCTCTGCCTAGTTTCCCTGCAGACACACTGAGAAAGGCAGTAACCTATATGCTTCCACAGATGGCTCTGTGTGGCATGGCAGGTCCCTCCTTCCAGGAAATGCAAGTAATAAAAATAATCTCCAATGGTATCGACCTTTCAGCGGAGATGCTAAGTCACTTCCATAAATTAAAATCCCATGAGTACAACTGCTACGTCTCTGAACTATTCTTGCAACTTCCTGCGAATCTATAATTATTTAAAATAAAAAGGTTTAAAAAAGTAAAGTGAGATGGGCAACTTTCACACTTCTGAAGTTTTCTGGAACTGGGACTGTATATTGTAAGAAGTTGGGTAGAATGGACCTGTGTAACCACCATAGTCTGTTATTCCGTGAGAAGGAAGGTCTTAATTTCAATTTTTTTTTAATGCTTAATAGTCTTCCATTTTTCTATTTCCTTTTGAAACATTCAAAAAAAATTTAAGTTACTCATATTCATTTTGTCTTGCTTTCCAAATATTCATTTAATGTTTTTTATTCTTTGTTGTATCTATATTTACTCCTTTTTCATTCTTCAGTTTTTGTATGTATCTTTTCTCACTTGTCCTTCACTATTGCTTGAGGACTCTAACAATCAGCTTTTGGTTTTGCTAACTAACCTTGGTATTCTTGATGGGTTTGTTTCTTTTCTGTCTCATTGATTTCTGACCTTTTTTTTTTTTTTTTTTTTTTTGAGATGGAGTTTTGCCCTGTCGCTCAGACTGGCACCATCTTGGCTCACTGCAAACTCCGCCTCCTGGGTTCAAGCCATTCTCCTGCCTGAGCCTCCTGAGTAGCTGGGATTACAGGCTCCCACCACCACACCCAGCTAATTTTTGTATTTTTAGCAGAGATAGGGTTTCACCATGTTGGTCAAGCTGGTCTGACCTTATTTTTATGATGTCCTTATTGTTTCTTTGATATTGATCTGTTTGACTTTTTAAAATTTATTCAGTTGAGTGCTTAGCTCATGTTTCCAACCTTTCTTGTGTCTACTGTAACATGTATTGAGAGCTAGGAATTTCCCTGTAAGTACTGCTATATCTGCATCTAAATTTTGACTTCTAGTGTCTTCGGTATCGTTCACCTCTAAATGTGTGTGTGTGTACACATAACTTTCCAGCACACTTTCTTTTTTGTTTTACAAAGAGTTAGCTGTATTATAGTGAACCCCAAGTTTC